GATGAGGCTCCAAAGGGACTGCTCCGTCCCTGGGGTGTGCCCAGGGCTCACCTCTATCTTCCACCCTTCCCGTGCCAGGCAGGAGGGGCATTTCTTCAGGTCAGACTGGGACTCGTGCTGCATCCACCACTCTAGCTCAGTCTCACTTCATGGAGTGACTTTGCTATTGTCCCCTGGAAAGTACTGTCCCCTCTGAGGCTCTGTGTGAGGTCTACTAGACAATCCTCACATGTTAATACTAACCATGGCCAGGCGGTGTACCAAGTGCTCTCACAGTGATGTGGACATGCCCAGTGCAATGGCTTTCATGTCACAGGCTGTCAGAAAATGTGACTTCTCCACTCTACATCATTCCTTCAATGACATTCATGAGCTTTCTGTGCAGGTCATGCTCTCAGCTGCTGGAAGGTATTTAGAGCTAAGCATAGCCTAAAACTGGCTCCAGCCAGTTGACCAGCTATTTCGAGACAGAAAACCCCCACCTTACCCAAGTAAACCTTCGGGTCACTAAGTTTGCCGTCATTAAAGACAAGTGAATGTTGGAGACTAGGAGACTGGGGTGAGGAGTCAAGAGTGGAGACTGAGTTAGAAGGCTGGAGAAGGCTGGGAGGAAGGGGTGTGCTCTTAAGGACTGTCAAGTGTAAAGTGTTCTCTATTTAGTTGTGAAAGTCCTAAATCAAGGACCTTTTTCTACCATGCCTGGCCACTGGATTGTTTGCATTCTGAAGTGTTGAGAGCTGTATTTTGAGACTCTTTTGGTGGCAATTTCAGTTGGACAGACCTATGTGGGTTAGCTGAGTAAACACCAAGATGGAGTCGGACTACATAAGTACAAGAATCTCATGAACCTTGGGTGCAGCCCAGTTTCTGAATATAGAATTGGGACAGTCTCAGGGATGTGGCCAGTGTGTGTCCACCCCTTCCTCCCACAAGCTTTTCCTTGTGAGGGACCGACTCCTGAGTACGCTTCTGAGTGGCAGCCTCACGCTGGCCTCTGCGGCTAGTTGCTTTCATCTTTGGCACATGCATGCTTGAACCGCTGCTCCCCAGTTCTTGAGTTTCCATGTGAGAGCCCGTCCAGACCTAATGTTTCTTCTGCCCTGGCAGAACCTACCAGAAGGAGAGTTGCTGGCCAGCGGGGGTTAGGGTGAGCCAATTGCTTGTAGGAGAAGAAATTGCTGCTCAGTGTCCACACTCCTGGCGGGCGCTGTTCTCCAAGGGAGGAGCACACAGGGCACACACCCAGCCATGGCTTCACCAGACACCCACACTGTGAAGGTCAGCCGAAAGGGAGCTGGGGCTGCAGGTGAGCACTATTGGGCCATCTGCCCATATTTTGGTGCTCTTAGTGGAGCCAAGGGGAACCTTGCAGGATTAATAGAATGTAGCTACAAGAAAGACAGGTGTTTGGATGAGACTAAATGAGTGGATGATTCTGGGTTCTGAAGATCTGGATTCTTAAGTCTGTCACACTCTCTCTTACAGCTTTTAGCAGCCCATCATATTTTGGGCAGTTTCTTTTTTATTGTGGTAATATTCCCAACATAACCTTGACCATTTTAACACTTTTCTTTGCAGACTTCAGTGTCAGTAGGAGACTCACATCTTGTGCAGCCGTCACTGTCCATTTCTAGAGCTTTCTCATCATCCCAAACTAACTCAGTGGTTCTTAAATAGCAGCCCCATGCTCTCTCCTGTTCCCAGCCTTGGCCTCCATTGTCTACTCTGTCTCTTTGTGACAGTTCTCCATGCCTCAGTGAAGTGGGATCTTGCAAAACCTGCCTTTCTTTGTCCAACTTATTTTACTTAGCACAGGGTTTGGAGGCTCATCCGTGCTGTATGAATTTGTTCTGTTGCATGGGCAGACTGTGTCTTACCTGTGATGGAAATACCACATTCGTTGATGAAAACGTGGCCACGCCCACCTATTGGCTACATGAGCACTATGATCAGCCCATCGTTTTTAAAGTTCAGATGGGTTGTTTCTACTTAGAGCAGATGTTTTGCTAAGGAAAAGGACTTCCAGGCTCACTTCATCCGGCTCTTCATTTCATGGAGGGACACTCTCCTGCTTAGGACAGGTGGGCTATCAGGACATGCCTGCCTACTGTGGACTCATCTGCCATTCTCTGCCCACTTGCCTAACACTGTGAGCACTTGGGAGTTATAAAGCAGTGGCCTTGGTCAGGAGATCTGGTCCTGGAGGATGTAGTAGAACGTGGAACAGTAGATTTGGAAAGAATCCCATAGATCACTGGTTTTCAAACTTTTTTGAGTTTCTTTTTCAAACAAGTTTTTGGCAGTACTGGGGTTTGAACTCAGGGCCTTGTGCTTGCTAAGCAGGTGCTCCACCACTTGAGCCATGCCCCCAGCCTTTTTTTGTGATGAGTGTTTGTGAGCTAGGGTCTTGCGAACTGTTTGCCTGGACTTGCCTCAAACCATGATCCTCCTGATCCCTGCCTCCTGAGAAGCTAGGGTCACAGGCGTGAGCCACCAGTGCCTGACTAAAATTCTTATTGAAAGCTCAAATTTTATCTTTGGCTGTCAGTGGTTCACCTTGAAGTGACTAGTACTCTGTTCCTTTCTGAGAAGGTGAGAGCCAAATGCTCAAGTCTAAATAATTGTAGCTGGGTCTGGGGGTATGGCTCAGGTAGAGCTCTTGCATAGCATGGGAGAGGCCCTGGGTTCTGCCCCCAGCATTGCAAGAATTAAAGAGAGAAAGAGTGAATAAAACAGTCCTAGCTGGCCCATCATTGGCTCTTTCCAATTAAAATGATGTGTGAAGGAAGCAGCTTAGACGGCTTGCAGCTCAGTCAGCCCAGTGAGTCTTATGTAGACACCAGCACGCACATGATGTTGTCCTTAACGAAGGAGGCACAAAGGGCAACTTTAAGGATCGGACTTAGTAATGCCAACGCCAGCAGTGCTTTTCACTATGCGATCAGTGTCAAGGCCAAGTGGAGGACTCCGCAGTGATCGCGGCTCTTTTTCAGCTGTGAAGGATGTGAGGCGCATGAGTGTGATGGCACTGCTTGGTCTGTGTTAAGACGCGAGCACTCAGCTCTCCCTGCGTTTGCATCACTGGGGCAGAAGAAGACATTCTCAGCATTGTGAGCAGTGTGGGCCTCGTGGGCCCCTGAGAGGGTCTTGAAGTCCCCACATGTTCACATCACCAATTCTCGTGGCCAGTGTAAGGCAGAGGAAATGTCAGCCTGACCCTGGAAGGCAAGGCATGGAGGGAGCTCAGCCCTGAGGTTCTGTTTCTGTCCCCTGGCCACCCAGCATCTTTGTTGCAGAGTGTGAAGGTAGGCGATGGAGGCAGCCCTAGGAGGACCGAGATGGGTGCTGAAGCTCTGAAGCCATACCCTTGTGGTCATTTGAAAACTATTTGGCATTTTAAACTTTCAGTCTCCTTGTGGCACTTGCTAGGCAGGTGCTCTACAAACTGAGCCACCTTCCCAGCCCTTTGCTTTAGTTATTTTTCAGATAGGGTCTTGGTTTTTCCCAGGCTGGCCTGGGGTCCTACTACTCCTACCTGTTCTTCATATATAGCTGGGGTGACAGATGCACACCGCCACACCTGGTTTACTGATTTAGATGGGAATCTCACTAACTTTTTCCTGGGCTGACCTCATTAGTAGCTGGGAGTACAGGAGTGAGCCACTATGCCGGATTCTGATCTCCCTCTTGACACTGAATATTGACACCAAATGATGACATCAGGCTTTGGGGACACAGCACCATCTGTTGGCACCTGCCCTTGGCACCCATCCCAACTGAATTTTGCTGCTTCAATGTGAAAGTGAGAAGCTACATTTGCTAAGAAGATTGTGCATGAGTCATAGCAGGCCTGGTTTCAGCAGACTTGCTTTTTTAGAATACTGTGTTCAGTGGGAGAAATTCTTTGCAAGCTCTTCATCAGAAACAGGATTGCCATCTAGAATATATAAAGAGCTCTGGGAATTAAATACTGAGAGGACAAACAATCCAATTAATAAATGGGCAAAGGAGTTGAACAAACAGTTCTCAAAAGAAGTACAAATGACCAATAAATACAGGAAGAAATGTTCAGTGTCCTTAGCCAGAAAGGAAATGCAATTTAAAGTGACACTGAGATTCCATCTCACTCCAGTCAGAATGGCTGTCCTCAGAAAATAAGCAACAGCAAAGACTGGCCATGATGCGGTAGAATGGAGCCTTCATACACTGTTACTGGGAGTGTAAACCAGTACAGCCACCATGGAGAGCAGTACAGAGGTTCCTCAAAGCCTAAAACAGAGCTACCATTATTACCCAGCCACATCGCTGCTTCTGGGCAGGTATCTGCAGAATTTCAAGCCAGCACACAGCTGAGACTCCTGCATGCCAACATTTATAGCAATCCTGTGCACAGTCAAGCTATGGGATCACCCCAGGTGCCCACAGCTGATGAATGGCTAAGGAAAATGTGGCATAGAAACACAACGGAGTGTTATTGAGTCATACAAAGATGAATTATATCATTTAGAGGAAAATGGATGGAAGTAGAGATCATCATGTTAAGTGAGATAAACCAGAGAAAGACACAATGTGGCATGTTCTTTCACGTACAGAACCTGATCTAAAGAAATGAGTGACAGGAGTGTAAAGGGGAGGGTTGTTGGGAGGTAGGACCCAGCGGGAGGGAGGAGGGTGGAAGAAGAGGTTGAGGGGTGAACATGGTCAAAGTACTCCATCCACGTGTGAAAATAGAGTGATGAAAGCTGCTAAAATGGTTTGAAAGGGGGAGGAGAGGGGATATAAAAGAGTAGTGGAGGGGGTGAACTTAATCAGAGCACATTGTATGCGTATGTGCAAATATCGCCCTGCAGCTCTTTGTACAATTAGTATATGCTAAGAAGAATACTGCATTCAGTGAAAAGCTAAAACGAAATGCTTTGAGTGAAGCTTATACTCATACTGTGACATTTGCAAACCAGAGATCCTGATGGCTGCCTTGCTTCTCTCTCCCTTGTCTTCAGCAATGGAAGAGTTAATAGTTGAACTTCGCCTCTTTCTGGAGCTCCTGGACCATGAGCACCTTACATCGAGTGTGAGGGAGAAAAAGGCTGTGCTCACCAACATCCTGTTGAGGATACAGTCGTCCCGAGGTGAGTCTCTCACGCGGCCAGTCTCCCTCTTCCAGTATCTTATCACTCCACCTGCTTTCTAAGACACATTCATTTGTTCGTTGACTCAGGAAGTTATTTAATCGTCAGGTTTTCATCGGGCCAGTGTGGTGTTAGCCTCTAGGTAGAGAGAGAAAAAGCCTTTCGGAGCTAATAGACTTGTGGCCCCCAAGAGCACCACAGCCTTGGCAGGAAGGACTCAGTACCTAGCATGCATTTGCACTTGCTCATGTCCAGGGCACATCATGCTGTAGTGAGGGTCCACAGCCCCATCACAAGGAGGGTGAAGGCCCAGGCTAGGTCTGGGGAGCCACGTGTGGCCTTCTGAGTGCGCTCTGTCCCCTGAAGCTCACCAAACCACACACTCTTTCCTCAGCAGTGAGAATGCCATACTCTGTGCTGTGCTTCTGTTTAGGGAGGCAGCTTAGAGACACAGTGCCCCCAGGTTCTACCTGGGCAGGTCATGGAAGTACCCTCTAGCACACACCAGAACACCAGCCTTGAGTAAAGCAGGTGTTCCACATCATCCATGCTGTTTGCACAAGCAGTGTAGGTCACACCAACCTGACCAACTAAGAAACAGTAGGAACACTTCTGAAACCCACGTTTCAGACACCAGCCTGGCCCAGTCTTTGGCCAGAAGCTTCAGGCCTGCTGTGAGGACTTCCTCAAGTCAGAAAAACAGGACAGAGGAGGCCTGCAGGGGCTGTTGAAAAGAGCACCTTGGTGCTAGGGGAGCACAGAAGAGGAGAGCCCAAGTCAGGCTGATGAGGCACGAGAGCATGGGTGGAGGCAGCCTGGGAGGATGTTCTGGGCTCCTGAAGGTCTGTAGGGGACCACTAGATACAATTGAGGGATTTTCTTTTAAATATCTTTACTAAGATATTCATAGACCGTAAACTTCACCTTTTCAAAGTGTGTGGTTGAGCCAGGCACAGTAGCTATTTGAGAGGCAGAGATTGGGAAGATCAGTGTTGAGGCCAGCCCAGGCAAAAAGTTAGTGAGACTCATCTAAACAAACAAGCTGGTGTGATAGTACATACTTGTAATCCCAGCTACACAAGACACATGGGTAGGAGCTTTGCAAAAATGTGAGACCTTATCTGAAAACAACTAAAGCCAAAGAGAAAACAACTAAAGCTGGGAGAGTGGCTCAAGTGGTAGAGCATCTACCTAGTAAGCTTGAAGTCCTGAGTTCAAACCCCAGCACAGCCAATAAAAAAGTGTGCAGTTCATACTCCTCTAGCCAGTGAAGTCATGGTATGGAATTAGATTCTGCCCATCAGTCAGGAAGATGGTGAAAGGATTGATCTGGTGGCAGATTAGACATGGTGGAGGGTAGACCAAATGGACTTCTTATCCTCCTCTCTTGCTTCATTCTGGATGTGTCTTCCCACATTTTCCACTCCACTAATTCTTTCTTCAGCTCTTTAATTTTTTTTTTAACACACATACTGATTTTTTTTTATTGACAGTTTCCATGTGTCCATCCTTCCCTTCCTATCTTCCTCCTTCCTTTTGTCTTTTTCTCTTTTCTTTTCTCTTTTCCCCTCCCCTCTGCTCTCTTCCCCTCCTGTCCTTTCCCTCTGTTTCCCTCCCTCTCCTTTCCTTTCCTCTTTTTTTGCCATAGATTCTTCATGTGTGAAGTGGAGAATAAAGATATCTACCTTTCAGGATTGTTGTAACAATTGCAACTTTAATAGTTGTGTTGTAACACAACTATTGCAGTGTTCTCCACGGGGCTCAGGAGAGGAAAGGCCGCTGGTGGCCCTCTCACCTGACTCGTGCTTCTTCTAACCCTTCAGGCTGTGACGTGAAGGACCATGCTCAGAAGCAAGAGACCAGCAGCCTGCCTGCGCCCCCTCAGATGCCGCTTCCAGAGATCCCTCAGCCGTGGCTGGTGAGTTGAAACCACCGTCCCCGCCTTGTCACTAGAGACCAGTGTAACTCATGTGCTGGGGCCTGTATGGAAGCCCAGTTCTGGAAGGCTGGGGGCTTCATCTTGTTGGAGGCACTGGGGCCTCAGAGTGCTGCTGACAGCAGTTTGGTAGACTGTGTAGCCTTCCCTCAGGAAGTGTGGAAAGCTCTCTGAGGAGAGCACTGTGGAGCTACAGGTCCTTGGAATTCTGCTCTTAAGTCAGATTCTGAAAAGTCAGAATTTGGCAGGCAAAACAACATCAGGGGAGCCTAAGGACCTGACCCTCTCCCCAAGTCAACTCTGAGCACCTCTGTGTAAAGTGTGAATATTTATTTGTGTGTTACTTCTGCCATTAAGTTTTCTTTTCTTTTTCCCCCCTTTTTTTGGCAGTACTTGGGTTTGAACTTAGGTCCTCACTTTTTCTAACAGGCACTCTACCAGTTGAGCCACTCTACTAGCCCTCATGTTTTTTTTTTTAAGAGAGAAAAATGTATATATTCTGGGGTTGTGTGTTTTATAATTTAAAATTTATTTGGGTCCCTTTTTTTTTTTGGCCATTCTGGAGATACTCATGTGCAGATTTTTGTGTTCCATTCTGGGTTTTCCACACTTTGTTTGTTGTCTTATTTGCTTAGTCAGGGACATTAGACTTTTGTTCAGAGCTAGGGCAAAATCAGTCACTTTGCAACTCTCTATATCTGCTTTCGGTATGAACCATCAGTTCTTGCTGCCAGGATATGACCTGGGGGAAGGGAGACCATGTCTTGTTTCTCTGTCTCCACCTGGGCCCTAGCCTAGTGACCAGTGTCTAGTAGGAGCTCAGTAATGACTGTGTGGCCAGGCACAGAGCAAACAAGTGTCTGCTGGCTCCTGCTCCAGGCTACGGTCCTTCTTGTTATTTCTTCATCTATATGTGCCCCTCATCTATAGGGGGTACCTTCCCACAGCCCAGTGGATGCCCACGCTTTGGGTATGCCATGACTTCATAGGCTATGCTTTCCCTCATATGTACACCTGTGAAAAGGTTTTTTTAGCACCAATGTCTGATAATAAAATAGAGTAATTATAACCATGTGCCATAGTAAGTAATTTAAGACTTAAGAATTGTTTCTTTCTGGAGTTTCCCACTTAATGTTTTTGGTTGACTACAGGTGGCTGTAACTGCAAAAAGTAAAACCACAGGTAGGGGAACAATTGCCATTTAATTGAATCCTCACAGCATGGTCTCAGAGGACTCCTAAATTCCTCTTCCCGTGTGAAGAGTGTACTTGTCCATGTTCCAGAAGAGGAACCAGGCTCAGTGAGGACTCGTGGTCCTCTGGTGTCACGTGACCTTCCCTCATCCTCAGTTTCAAGCCCAGCCCTTCTCAGCAGCACTTGCTGTGCAGATGCAGGCATGACCTCAGGTGGAAGGGGGCTGTGTCACACCTGGAGCTGCTCCCAGATGGCTCCTGGGGAGGCAGTAGGAAGCACACAGTGCAGATGCTGGAGTGAGGCGTCCTCACCTGTGGGACTTAGGAAGGATGGAACCTCTCTGCCTCAGCTGCCTCGCTTCTCAGAGGAGCACGGATCAGGTCAGCGCCTGTGCAGCAGGATTTGAGGGGACGGAAGGCTCAACGTATCCCCAGTGCCTTGCCATGTGCCATGTGAGCCATTGGCCTGTGCAGCAGCATTCTCAATGCTAGTGTCCACAGATCACCTGGATGTCTTGTTCAAAGTGCAGATCTGGCTCACTAGGTCTGGCTGGGGCCTTAGCTGCCGCATTTCTAACCAGATCACTGTAGGGATCACAGGCAGAAAGATGGTAAAGCAGTAAGTAAGCATCACGTGTACTCCCTTCTCCCCAGGGAGCTTTAGGAACAGTGGCCTTTCCGGTCTTTGTTCTCCACCGTGCTGCCCACCTATGGCAGGCATTGAGCCCTTGCAGAGTGCCTGCATCCAACTGAGACTTGATGGAAGTTTCAGTTCTCACTGGATTTGGAAGATTTAATTTAGCATCTTAGATATTTCATTGATAATTGTTACATTGCTAATATGTTTGAATTGTAATATTTGGATATATAGAAGGCTGGGGTGTCGCTCAGTGCTGGAGCACTTTCCTAGCATGCACGAGGCCCTGGGTTCTATACCCAGTGCTGCAAAAACAAACAAACAACAAACAAAAACAGAGCAGTCATGTGTCACTCAATGCAGTATAGGATCTGGGAAAGCCATCATTAGGTGATTGTGCAAACACCATGCTTACATAAGCCTGGAGGGTATGCCTCATACCTAGGCGGTAGGGTGTAGCCTCTGGCTCAAGGTCCAGCGTGAACCAAATGCCAGAAGATTCAACCAAGTGCAGGAGAAAACGGAGCAGTCAGGGGACATAGTGAACACGAGGCGTGTGAGGCTGCTGCTGTGTCACACAGCATTCTGCTCTTCAGTGAACTGTTACAAATAAGTCCAAGGTGTGTGCCCATGTCATTGCTCTGTCACCCTTCCACAATGGCTGGCAGGGCATTGGATGTGTTACCCCAGCATCGCTACCAGCATGGTATGAATAGTGCACTGCTCCACGTGGTGGGTGACAGCAGGGAGGATGACACTAGGCAGGACACGTTCTTCAGCCCCACTGTAACTTGTGTGACCGCTGTTACAGATGCTGTCCACTGTTGATCAAAGTGTCTTTATGCAACTCATGACCGTGTTAATAAAATCTCTTTATCAATTTTATGACAGCTGGAAAATTCAGGTTATGTCAATGGCTCACAGCTGTGCATGTCTTTCTGCCCTGGACGTGTCTCCTTTCCACAGCAGAGACGATGCTGAATAAACAGCCTTTTCTGTGCTTTGTTGTTAAACATACGTGATGGGTTTCCCTGTAGAAACGTCTGTCCACTCATACTGTTTGTTGTAGGAACTTAGGATCTGGGAGAGCTTTTTATTTTTTATTGTCTCATTTGCTGTTTTAAGAAACATGAAGTTGTATTCTAGAATTAAGTAATTCAACAATGTTAATCCTATTTACCAATAAATTATTTTATATAAAAGATGAAGAACCAAGTGGAACACCAGTAGTTCATTTATTACTTGGTCTTCATCTTCTGGTTGTTTTGTTTGTTTATTTATTTATTTATTAATGTTAAGCTGGTCTTGACCTTGCGGGCCACTGTGATAAGGCTCAACGTGCTGTCTTGTATTTTATCATTACATTTCATTTTGGGAACAGTGTCTCAAGATGGAGGGTGAAGTGGAAACACTAGGAGTAGGCAGGAGGGTAGCGATGGCTTCAGGAACTTCATTGGCTCCCCTGCTGTGGGGAGCATCCTGTCTGCCGTCACACTGCACTCCACAGCACTGATGGAGAATGGCAGTTCAGATGCCAGTTGAAGACCAAGAGTCTTCTTTGAAGGGTCTGTGTTTCTTTCTCTCTCTTTCTCTTTCCTCTCTCTGTTTTCTCTCTCTCTCTCTCCTCTCTCTCTCTCTCTCTCCCTCCCTCCCAACCTTCCCCTCTCTCTGTCTCTTTCTCCCCTCCCTGCTTTGCTCTGTCTTGCTGGTAGCTGCTGCTATTATGGCCAGGGCAATATGGTCTGGTGTAAGGTTTGTGAAGCCCTCCTACTCCTGTGCTCAGATCTGGTACCTTAGCCAAAAATGGCTAGGAAAATTTCAGGTGCTTTGAATTCTTTAAGTTTGAATAAATAACCTTTGAGTAGCTGTCTGACCAATGGTGGCCTCTCCTTATTGTACATGGGGACCCAGGAGTCTTCTCCCCACACCCAAGCTGTACTGTCATGTTCTGTAAGGACCACATGCTCTGTGCTGGCCAGGGCCTTCTTTCTTGGCATGTGGGGCTACTCACTGTGCTCTGCATAGTCTATATCTGTGCACATTACTACCTGTTAACCCAGCTTTCAAAGCACAGTTTGGATATTCAGTGTCCCCAGGGACCCAGGTATTAAAGCTGGTTCCCAGGATAGCTCAGTTGGGAGGAGCTGTGCACCTTTAGGAAGGGGCCCTGGGAGGAGGTCCTAGATCAATGTGGGTGTACCCTGGGGCGGACAGTGGGACCCTGGCCTGTTCCACTCTCTCTTTTGCTTGTGGGACATGAGGTGAACGGTTTATTCCCCACCATTACTACCCCCACCCACATCAGAGACCCAAAAGCAATTGGGCCATCTGGCCATGGACAACATGACCCTTTCTCTTTCTAAGTTAAGTGCCTCACATGTTTTTTGCAGTGGCAAAATCCAGTGCTGTGAAAGCTGCCTTTTTAATTATCGTGACTTGCCACCACCTGATCGAATCCATTCTTAAATCTCTTGACTGAGTCTTTCTAAAGCATCTCGGAATTTTCACAGCTCCTTCTGTACTCATTTTTCCACTGGTTTGTTTAAGTGGTAGTGAATGTGACTAGAGTAATGAGAATTCAAAGAGCAAAGCTGTCTCAGTAAACATGCAATTTACCTGGTGAGTTGGCTTCTTGGGCACTTTAGAGAGGAGCCCATTGGCCACAAACGGTAGCATCTAAGGGCCATAGGTGAGGGTATTTTGCAGGGGGCCTGGAGGCATCTGTGTCCCTCAGCCCATCCGCTCAGTAGTTGGGTCACATGACTCTGTTACATTTTTCTGAGGGTTTCTCAGTGAATACAGAGTTGGGCAAGTGAGCCAGATACCTTGGCTTTTGGACAGTGGTCATTTGTTCTTAGCAAATTAACCTTGGGGAGAATGTGCTTACTTGTAAGGATGGAGTGGAGAGGCTGTGCTAGGCAGGGTCCTGCAAATGAAGGTATGAGCCAAATGCACTGGGAGCAGCACAGGACCTGGGGGCTGCTGACACTGGGACCTGGGTGGGAGATCACAGAGGAAGCTGCTCAGCAGGTGGGCGTGTGAGAGGTATAGAGTTTATCATGAAAGCAAAGCCCCCTTTGAAAGGGTTTTTAGTGTGTGACTTACTCCAACTACGTACTGTTTCCCATGCACTTTTGAACTGTTGTTTTTGCAGTATTAGGGTTTGAACTCGTGGCCTCAAGTTTGCTCGGCAGATGCTCTACCACTTGAGCCATGCTGCCAGCTCTTTTGCTTTTAGTTTGTTTTGTAGATAGAATCTTCTGCTTATTTTGCTCCAACTGATCTTGGGCCATGATCTTCCTGCCTCTGCTTCCTGAGTAGCTTGGATTGCAGGTGTGGACCACCACATCCAGCTAAATTTGATGCCTTTTTAGGCCAACAGATAACAATGAGGCTTTTTTTTTTTTTTTACTATGGTAAAATGTACATAACATAAAATTTATCATCTTAACCATTTCTTTTTCTTTGTTTTTTGGTGAAGGGTCTTGCTAAGTACCTCAGGTTGACCCCGAACTAATGATCCTCTGCTGGGATTACAGGTGTGCACCACCATGTGCCTAGCTCTCTTTTATCCCATTTCTAAGTGTCCAGTTCAGTGGCCTTCAGCATAGTCACTACCACCATCCTCTCAAGAACTTTTTCATCTTCATTAAACTGAAACTCTGTCCCCATTAAGCACAACTGCCCGCCCCCCTTTCATAGCCCCCGGCATCCACCTACCATTCTTTTTCTATGGAACAGTGAGGCTTTGTTAGCAGTCTTTGCTCCTGAGCCTGGAGCTGGTGTTTTATCCTTTCTAAGCACCTGTACCTCCACAGCACCTTCGTACCCATGTGACAGGTGAGATTACGAGGCTCTTTGACATTATGTGACAAAATTTGGTGTTGGAAGTTGCAGAGTTGAGATTAGAGCCCTAGACTTAAAACAGCAAAACCGTTTACTTCCATGAGGAGCCAGATGTGGCCTTTCAGTGGATATGAGCCTTCTTGTTCCCTTTTCTTTCTTCTTTCTGGAATCTCAGAGTTTGGTCTCCTGTGTAATCTGCAGCATCTTTATCTTATCTTCATCTGGGCACCGACCTGCTGCTGGAGAAGGAGGGGAGATGGCCTGGTCCTGCAGCCTTCATTCTTTGATGTGCTTAAATAAAACTAGAGTAAACTTAAGAAAATGCATGGTGCTTTCACCGCATTTACTCAGTGCTATGTGGAATTAAGTCAGATAGTGACCAGAATGGAATGGTGGAATTTGCAGAAAGACTTACTTTGCCAGTGAGAGTACACACTCAAAAGTTTTTGGTGTTGGGATTCAAGCCATTTTAGTTTACTACCCACTGAAAATCACTGTAACCCAGCCCCCAGGCTCCTCCCTTCACTTGGGTGGGCACAGGCGGTCCTAGGCCTAGGAGGTCCAGTTACCCATGTACCACTTCCTGGAGTGCTGCTGAGCTCACAGTCAGCTGGGGAAGGACTGCTGGGTTGCAACAGAACTACCCAAACCCTAGTCTTCTTATTCAGATCATGTAAATATTGGTTGTTACTCTTGTACTTTTTATGCCCTGCAACCAGAAAAGCAATCTGGACGTCCTACTGCATGCACAGAATTAGAGCCAGAGTGGTTCCAAATTCTACTGTCCTATTTTCCTCAGTTGGAGTCAGGTCTCAGGGTTCATGGTGTTTCTTATCCAAACGCTAAGTAATAAATCAGGCTAGGTGTAGGGGAAGATACAGGGAGGACAAGAAGACATGAAGATAGTTGGAAGGTGTATCAGTGCTGGGTGAAGTGCATTGTTGCAAGTCTCCTCAGGAAACAGTGGATCTAGTTGTGTTGAGGGGATAGGAGCCATGGTTCAGACCCTGCAGACTTAGGTGGCTGACAAGTCGGGTCCCTGCTCCCATCCTCCTCTTCTCAGCACAGTACTGTTAGGTGCGGGGGACAAAGATGCAGTCCCCTCGATCATGCAACATGTGAGAACCTGGGAAGGGCTGTGATCCCTAGGCCTCAGTTTCTTCACTTGTGGAATCACACTTGGAGTAGCAACTCTCAGTGTTGTTTTCAGAACTTCTGAAAAAATCTTCACAATGTCCCATGACAGTGTTTGGGAGCAGCAGGCAAGCAGTGAGTAGTAGTTATCGTTACTCTTTGGAGTGACACCGACAGTCACTGCTGTGTGCACACCACACAGTTATATAAGCATGACTGTTATCATCAGGAAGAGAATTCTCTGGGAGGCTTTCCCTTCAAGCTGCAGAGGTGGGTCCTAGTGGCCTCCTCTTTCCAAAATGGCCAGCCCAGAGATTATAGCACCATGAACTGTGGATATTGGATTTGACAAGGCTTTCTCCCATCCAAACACAAACCAGACCCGACCCTGCCATTTCTCATTTCTCTTATTTCTAAGCATGGTGGAGCCCAAGGTTACTCGTTCTCTGTTTTCCTCTTTCTTCCTGCATATCTAGAGGTCCTCTGTGGTTGCGCTGAAGTCCCTTAGTTCATCAGCCTGTGTTTCGTGAGAGGAGGCCTAGGACACCCTGGACAGATGTGAGACAGGGTTAGAGTTGCACGCTTAGAGAGAGGCTTAGACAGGGGCACTTCTGACATTGAGGGAGAGAAGCTCAACAAAGCAGCTCCAAGGGGGTGTGCCACAGCACAATTGGGGGACCTCGAAGAACCTGCTCTAATCACAGAGCCTCATGGCTTTTGTCCCTCAGTGAGGCTGGGATGCCTCCACTGCCTCTTGACTGTACCATGACCAGAATCCCGCCCAAAGAACTGGCCTTTCCCAGCAGAAACAGATGCATGCATGGTCATGATGCCATGCCACCTTGACAGGCAGGGAGGTGGGAAAGGTGCAGAGCCCTGGGGAACAGGCTGAACACCTTGGCCAATACGTGCTGCATGTCTGAGTCCTTGTCATTTTATGCTCTTGCCTCCTGCCCATCCTCTGGTCCCCTTGGCCCCTTTGCATTCCTTTTTTATACCTCTTAAAACCCGCGTCGATTGTGGTCTCAGTGAATTGCTACCTCTGGAAAGGATCTGAGGACTTTCCTCTGAAGGCAGTGACTTCAGAGTCCAGGTCCTCTTTGCAGCGTGTTTCGTATTTGACCACACCAACCCCAAGTGTGGGAAGCCCTGTGCAGGCTCCCGAGGACCATGGTGCTAGGCAGAAGTGGAGCACTCACCTCTCCTGTGGCAGAGAGTGCTTCTGTTACTAAAGGCATTATTTCAAAGTGAAAAGAGCTTGATTTTTTTATTTTATTTTAAAAGGGATAAAGACTATGCAGAAATCCAAGCTATACAGATAGTTAAAAGAGAAGATGACTGGTGTGTGGCTCAAATGGTAGAGCACCTGCCTAGCAAGGAGGAGGAGGAGGCCCTGAGTTCAACCCCCATTGCTTCCACCTCTGCCTGACTTGAGCTCTCAGGGAGTTTGACTGTGCACCTCATAAACATCAGTTTCACTTGCCATTCCTGCAGCCTCTGGGCACGTATTTATTGTCTCACCATCCTAAAAGGGAATTGGAACTCCCAGCTTCTTTTGGATCAGAGACACTCAGTGAATCAGAAAGCTCTTTTCTAAATGCACCAAGCAGGAGTGTGACCCATGTGGCCTCCTACCCAGACCTTGCCTGGTGCAGAGCATGGTGGTCAGGTTCCCTCTCAGGAGGAGGCGGATCTGGGCACCATCTATGTGAGACAGCAAGGTGGTGACTGCCTGGAAAGCCATCATGGGGACACAAGGGAAGTCAGTCATTCAGTCCAGGGAACAAGAACTGGGCAAAGGGAGATGGCTGTGTTCAGAGTAAGAAATCATCTCCTTCCTGAGCTGGAGAGGAAGGAGTGCACTGGGTATGTAGCACGTCGTTAGTTGTTCACACAGGGCCTCTTGCACTTGGAGTTTCGTAGGAAGTGATGGAGTCACACATTCTAGAGAGTTTACATACAAATTAAAAACACCAGAAAACCATGATCTCATTGGAACACTGCTCGACTTGGAACTTTAACTTGACCGTCTTCAGTTTGGGGCCTCTGGTCTGTTCCATTCTCTGTAACTTTCTTCTTCCCTAGTTATTTATAGAATATAGATAGTGTGAGATGTTTACATCCTAGAGAGAGACCATGAATATAGAAAGTTCTTTAGAAGACAGGCAAGGTGTCTGGGTCTGGGGTCTGATTTTGAGCAGGATGGTTCAGATTGCAATCTGAGGAGAGACAATGCCCACTTTGCAGGGCTATCGTCCTGTTCACTGCTTTCCTCTGTGAGCAGAGCCCAGGTGTTAGCACGGCCAGGCAGGGAGCAGGAGCACTATGATGTTGCCTATCTGTCCCTCCAGCCTTTTCTCTGGGTGGAGGGACCAGGGAGGGCAATAACCAGCAAGTGCTGCAGATGTTCAGAGAGGAGGCTGGTGTGGTTAGAGCTGGCAGATAGTCAGTAGAAGAGAGGGACCTCAGTGCATCTCGCAGATATGCTAAGGGGTTGGGGAGCCCCAGCCTACCAGATTCTAAAGTTACGGCTTCAAAACAAGACTGTGGCTGAGCCTGAACATATAAGAAGTGGTGGTGGGATGGGTTTGGTAAGGAGTAGATGAGAGCAGTGCGCAGATCATGGTTCACAGGTGACTCACTGGTTAAGCCATTTCCCGGCTCTCAGGAAGCATAAGGTAGAGTGTGGGCATGCATCCTCGTGAGCACCCTAGACCTGAGGGCCTCGTGTTGCCTCCGTCTCAGGACTCACTTGCGTCATGGTCACAAAGGAGACTCCACCATGGGGGTCGGGGGAAGAGGGGGGGATGGCAGGAACAGATGAACATAGACCCTGTCTTTGCTACTAAGGGGTTCAGGGGGCAGGCATGAGCCAGCCCAGCTGGATTTTTGAAGGGCTTCTCTGCCTGGGACATAGTGTAGCACGTGCAGATGATACTCAGTGAGGCAGTGCTGTGCTTACAGTACGCACAGTGGTAAGGACCTGTGGCCTGTGCAGAGGTAAAGGTCCATGTGGAACTGACCTTCCAAGCCTCTGTAGGGGAGAGGCCTTTTTGCCGTAGACTTTGTAGAGAAGGGAATGCTAGCCAGCCTATCAGTGGGAAACAGAATTTCCCTCCAGTGCTCAAGCTAATCCTTGCCTGGTTTCCTTTCCTCAGCCTCCTGACAGTGGGCCGCCACCCTTGCCCACATCCTCGCTCCCCGAGGGCTACTACGAGGAAGCTGTGCCGCTGAGCCCTGGGAAGGCTCCTGAGTACATTACGGCAAGTGAGTGGCAGCCACCGCTGGGTGGCCCTGGGTTTAAGGGATGGGAGGCAGGTGTTTTCCTGGGTATGAGCAGGGCTGCACAGCACCACAAAAATGTGGGCACAGTGGATTTGGAACCCAAGGAAAGCAGGGATCCCGGAGGGACTTTGGAATGGCTGGTGTACTTTATAGGTGCCTTTTCCAGTGGCTGTCATCCTGGTGACTCAAATGCAGCAAAACCTAACACTGTGGAACCAAGTATGGGCAGATAAGATGACTTCCCTCTGGTCAGGAGAGAAGCAACCTCTTTGGGTCGTGTTTTTATGGGTGTACATAACACCCTATCCCCTCATTCTTGGCAGAGTGTGTCCACCCGGAGGCCAAGGTTGACCAATTCTACCAGCCTGCCTGTTGGGTTGAAAATAACTGGACAGAGCACAGATAGGCCCCTCGGGGTAGAGGTTTTCCAGAAAAGTTTTGCCTACACCCTCATCCTCATGGCTGCAGAAGTCACCTGCTGCTGCTGCTGACCCTCAGAAGTGCCTCTGTGTTGGGATCCAGCTTCCAAACTCAGGCAGAGTGACATGCGGACCAGGGAAAGCCTTCTCAGCTGTCTCCAGAATTTGGTTTTGAGTTATTGATGTTATTTTGTCAGGCAGAGTGCTACTGTCTCATAAAGAAATTGAAATAGAATACCTCAGTCTCTGTCAACCTTGGGAATCAACTTGGTTTTTATAAAAGACTGGAGCATGGAAAGTGAGAATGGATGCAAATTCGAATCCGGGGCCTCCAGCACACCCATACTGCTGAGCAACTGTGAACACTTCCCACGTTGGATGGCGGGGGACTGGGAGGAAAGAAAAGAAACCTCTGTTTATATGTTTATAGATAAATCTGTGTGGAAACAAGGAAGCAAAGCTCCTCAATAGCCTGGTCCTCCCACAGCTGGCCAGTAGCCACTGCTAGTGTCCACCATCCCCTCTGCCCCATCCTGCCTTCCCTTTGTCATAGCAAGCCCTCAGATGACTGTGGCTTCCTTCCAGGTGGGGTGTCCAGCTGCTTTCCAGAGAGGTCTGAGCTGTCAGTCTGATTTCCTGAATTGAATGGTTGCAGCTCCATTAGCTAGGCAGGGGAGGACAAAGATTGTTATAGGGGTCACCTGGGTCCTGACAGGCTCTCCTAGCCCATCATTTGGGTACAGCTTCTTCATAGTCAGGAGCAGCTCCAGCCACCACAGTGACTGCCCCCTTGCCTGAGGAGCCCAGCGTGGCCAGGGGCGGTCTCCACTTTCAGCCTGCTGGGATTGTTGCCATACCGTGTCCTTAGTCCAGTGTGGGCCACTTTGGGGAGGGGCACAAACTGTCATTAGGGCACCACCAGTGTAGTGGTGAGGGGAACCACCACCCTCTCGGCCTTTGTTCTTGGACGTGTGACTCATGGTTGTGGGAACTAGAGCATACACTACTGGAAGACATTCTGGAAGACATCACCCCCAGCCCCACAGGGCGTCAGCAGCTGGCAGGCTGCCCTCCTCCCCTCCCCTCCCTTTACATCCCCTCCCCCTCCCCTTCCATTGCCTCCCCTCCCCCTCCCCTTCTATTACATCCCCTCCCCTCCCTTCACATTCCATCCCCCCTCCCCTTCCATTCCATCCCCTCCCCTCCACCTCTTGAAGGTTCCACCACCTAGTAATGCCACCCTGAGGACCAAGCCTTCAACACATGGGCCTTGGTGGGGGCACTCATCCAAATCCTACCAACACGGTTGTTCCCTGAAGAAACCTCTCTTCTCAGCCTCTCCTTCACCCTTCTCTCTGGAAAGAGGCCTGCGGCTCTACTACTCACTTTCCAGTACCTGCTCTGCACTTAACCCTTGTCTCTAGTGCATGTGGCTTGGAAGGATAAGTCAGGGATATGTTCTTAGGTAACGGAGTAGGAGAAAGCACGCCACCTCGCCAGGGTCCAGGTTTTCGTCTTCACCTAGTGTAGGATTGCCATTGATGTGTGCTGGTCCCTACGTGCAGTGTTGACATTCTCCATGAGAGGCCAGGCTATGCCAGGGCCTGACAGTGTCTAGTCAGCACCCTTCACCTACTTGTCCATGAATACCTGTGCCATTCACTGACATACCAGAAGGCAGTAATTCTTTTTCTCCTCCCCATTCTGTGTTTCTGAAATTTTCACAAGGCCTAGCCCATGGTCTGAGTCCTAGACTGCCACACAGTGTGCTGAGCAGGTGAATGGTGGGACTTCTGTTCTCCTGTGGCAGCTGCTGAGGACAGTTTTGGAGCTGCTTCTCCTTGAGACTCTGTTTGTTACTCCTGGCTGTTCTTTGTTTCCTGCCAACTGACTGAAGTGTTTCTAGAAATGGCTGGCAGTTCTGCTCTCTCAGAAGGCAGGACAGTGAGCTTAGTGCATTGTTCCCTGTTGTCAACCCCAGCCCGTTCCCAAGGATGAGAAGGGCTCTAGGACTTGGTGCACTCACTCCCCAGTCTGAAACCAGGAGGCCTGCTTCCCATTTCAGCTGTCACTCACCAGGGCCATAGTCTCTGGAGCATTTCTTGGACTCTGAGCATCATCCTTCCTTTCCTTCTTTTCTCTAATGAGCCATGCCTCATGTCCAGACCTGTCTTCCCCCAGCTTCGCCCAACCCCTGGAACGTTAAGATACAGACACGAAAACATTGTCTGACAGAGAGCAGGCGCTCAGTCTGTAATTGCCAAGTGAGTGAAGGCAATGCCAGTGTTCTCGTTTATACCTCATTTATTCATCAGGTTTTTTCTTCCTTTGTTCACCAAATATCTATTGAGCTTGATGCACCAGAAAACGAGGTGAGCTCTGGGGATTCATGATCCTCCAAGCCATTTTAAGAACTGTCTTTCTAAACCAAAAGTTTGACTATGTCCATTGTCACCTGCTCCTGCCTGTGAGTCTATCACATAGATAGCTCGCTTTAGGATGGGGTGTTGGGTGTATACAAACATTGTATGTTTGTTTTGGTAAACACACGAACCTGAGAGGACAGAGGAGGTAAACGGCACAGAAGAGTCATGTGCTGTGCTGCTGTGGAGCCTTTTTAGTTCTGGAGTCATTCCTGTCCCTCACTGTCCCACCTTCCCAGGCTGCTCTACCTGACTCTAGGGCTGTGTACTTGTATGCTGTGGAAAACACCACGGGCCCAGCAGACTCCAAAGTGCTAATGCTTCTCAGCACAACTGCTCATGGTGCTTCTTCTCAGACTGGCCAGCAACTCTTGCAAGGGCTGGGAGATGAGCTCACCATCTCAGTGTCCACCCCAGTCCCTGTCTCTGTCTGTGCTAGATTGTCAGTCTCCCTCTCCCCCTCTCTCCCCCGACTGTAGAGACAGTGTTGGTGCTCTGCATATGCCATGCAGCATGGGGTTCATGCAGCCCCTGGGATTTGGGGCACTTGAAGTGTGGTGAGTGCAAACAATGAGCTAAAGGTGTCATTTTCCTTAACTTAGTGAAAGTAATTTCACTGGCCTCTGGTGACTACCGTGGAAGGAAGGGTATGGGCAGATGTAGATACTGGTGTAGTCTGGGGCACACGGGCACATGCTGGAAGGATATGGAGACAGGAGCAAAGGCCACCTGTCTGTGGGAGAACGAAGGGAGTCTGGCCTGTTCTCTGTCATTTATTCTCCAAGGTGATCAGAACCCAGACCCTCAGTTCTTTGTCCTCAGCACCTCTCCGACCAGCCCTGCCTCACCTCCTCCGAGCATTCTCAGCCCAGGCAGCCCCCAGCATCTCAGGCACATTCCTTCAGGTGCTCCAGCAGCCCTGCCTTATCTGTCACCCCCACCATAACCCATCCTTGAGCTGTTTCCCCATTCACACTACCCATCTCCTTAGTGCTTGTCTAAAATCCTTCCTTGGCTTCTTTCATTATTGAAAATTCAACTTGGGGATTAGAGGTGTGTCTCAAATGATACAATGCCTACCTAGCAAGCCTGAAGCCCTGAGTTCAAACTCCAGTACCATCACAAAAAAAAAAAACAAAAAAAACAAATTCAACTTGTAAATGTTCATCTTTCTTCCCCCTCTGAATATTGATTCTTTGCCAGAAAACTAAAATACAAATGTGACTGCTGAGTGCAGGTAAGGTCCAGGTTCAAGTGAGTATCACACATAACTTGTGCTCCGTGGAGATGGTCATTCCTGCCACTGCTCCATCATGCAACCCTGTATAGCCATTGCTTCTCCTTATCTGTCAGGCATCCATCTCTTAGGACTCAGTCCTTAAGGATGCTTTGAATGGTGCATCATTCCACACGATGCTGGGGGAGAGGGGAGTCGGCAGTGAATCAGACACTGCCTCAAGCAGCTTGTTACCCAACACAGCCCAAAGTAGGGAATGGTATGGGTGTGACTTGCTAGTGTTACTCCACCATGCCTTGGAGGGCTTTGCAGGTATAACTCATTCATGTGACAGTCCTCCTTCTACATGTGGCTTTATGCTTGCCATGCACCAGATACTTAGGTGCTGGATATGTCAGGTGTGACAAGATGATCTCCTTTCCCCAGGGTGTACAGACTGACATGGGAGCCAGCAGGTGCATGGCAATGGCAGTGTGATGTGAGGTGTTTTGTGTTAGGCCCTGTGAGAACACAGACGGGGCCATCTACCCAGTGGGTTAGTGTGCTCTGGCTGGGGAGCTTAGCCCACACATTTGCTTCTCTTGGCTCTGGAGACTGGGAGTCTTAGACTGGGGGATCAGCAGGGCCAGGTTCTGATGGGGCCTTTTCCAAGTTGGAAAGTGTTGTGAGTTGTGTGCTGTGTGCTGACATGGCAGCATGTGAGGGCTCTCACTCTTCTTCTTTCTTCTTCTTCTCATATGCCACTGGCCCAATGGGATTAGGATCCTGGTGACCTTGCTTTACTGCAATTACTCCCTAAAAGCCCCATCTCCACATACAGTCAGGTTAGAATGAAAACTTAAGCACACAGGTAATAGGGGCGCTCTGCCATCTATGGCTTGCAGCCCCCGTGCTCAGGGAGGGCTTCCTGGACCAGGCAGTAAGAAATGCCAGGCGCATTTCTCTTGGAAAGGGCAGAGGGGGAGCGATGAGTGGGAAGCCTGTGGTATGTTCAGACACCCTGATATAAGAGAGGAGATATGTTTGGGAAACTAACCGGGGCCCTAGTCTGAGTGCTAATGTGTCACAGAAGGTCGGTAACTTCCTGCTACAGTTCCAAGCTGCCCTGGAAGAGCAAGAGGGTCTTTGGCTAGACCCTGAGTATGTGACAGGAATGTTCTTGTGGCGATGGCAGTGGGAAGCAGGAGAGCAGAGGCTCTGCATGGACAAGCGTCCCACATGGTGGCCACATCAGAGCATCGTCTGCAGTGTCGGGTCTGTGCAGTGTGTACAGTCCAGAGAGGATTTTAGAAGTGCAGAGGTGTCAGTACTTCAGTTGGAAGCAGTTCACTGAATTTGTCTTTTTTCTTCAGGGACAAAAGCCTGTCTCTTACTAAACTCCTTGTGATTAGAAGTGTGATGAGGCACGCTGTGCCGAGGGTGACTTGCAGTGTGGTCCTCTTATCTGTGCAGATTATGACTCGGATGCCATGAGCAGCTCCTATGAATCGTATGATGAAGATGAGGAGGACGGAAAGGGGAAGAAAACTCGGCACCAGTGGCCCTCGGAGGAGGCCTCCATGGACCTGGTGAAAGATGCCAAGATCTGCGCCTTCCTGCTGCGCAAGAAACGCTTCGGCCAGTGGACCAAACTGCTGTGTGTCATCAAGGACACCAAGCTTCTGGTGAGACCCCCACCAGTTGTGCTTTCGTGAGATAGTAAGGTGTCAGTAATGCAGAGAACAGGGCTGAGGCCCATTGCCCCTGATTCCACCATATGGGGATGGGGGAGCTCAGTGAGCACCAGAGCCACTGCCAGTGCAAGATGAGCTCTTCGGAGCAGCCCAGGCTGACCTGGTACTTGCTTCCCAGCGCAGAGGCCTTCCCTCCCTGGCTGGGCCTGTGGTTGTGTCAGTGGAAATGCATGATGCTGTGACTTGCCAGGAGTTGCAAGATGGACTTTGTCATTTGTAATGAGTCAGTGAATTCCTCACAGCCAGGTCACCACAGTGGGCTGGGAGCCTGCGGAGGCGCCGTGGGGAGAGCAGTGGAGAAAGGAAATTCTTTTGGAAAGCCTGAGGCCAAGTCTTTTTTTTTTTTTTAAGTTTTTAACCCAAGAGGCAGAACAGGAAGATGTAGTAAGTAGCCAGAAGCAGGGGGTGGAAAGCATAGACCCGGGCCAGGCCTGGCCGTGGGAGTTGTTCCCAGGGGGCTCCAGTGAGGAAGCAGGAGCCTTTGAGAAGTGGGCTTCATCGCTCCTCCTCCCCCTCTTCCCCTCCTCCTCACCTCTATCCTTCCTTCCTTTGGAAAGCATGGGGGTGTTACGAACTTCACATAACGTTTTTTGCCTTTTACTTTTCTTTCAAATTGATCTTGGTGAAGCAATTGCAGAAAACCTGAAAATTTGTGTTTCTGCAGGTCACATTTTAGTGGAGCAGGTGAGACATTTTTTGAAGTAAGGTTCATGTGTGAATCATAGGACATTGCATATTTTTTAATTAATGTTTTTGTCAGTTTTTTTAAACTTTCAGAGTACATAGTTTTTCCACGTGTGGCCTGAATTTCTCCCAAATTTAGAATATGCCAAAAAGGATGCCATGGGGAATTTTAAAGCATGAAAAAACCCCATTAATATGGTCCTTATTTATAGTCTGATGTAATGATTACAAGATGAGGGAAAAATTGCATAAATGTTTTGAAATGCACAATCAACTTTCGTTTAAAAAGGAAGCTCTGCACACAATGCAGGCAGCCTTGTACGGTATGAGGAGTCAGCGCTCTGTGTCCCCCACTCCTCTACTTGTCCTCTTCCTCCTTCCCTACTTTGTGTGCCATTTGGTCTCTTACAAGTTTCCCCTCTCCATACTAGAATGATACTAGTTTCTGGTTAGAGCATATATAATACTGAAGAAGGAATTAATGGGAAAACCAGGAAGACACTGTCTTTGATAAAATGCAGGATGATTAGTTGGTCACTTTTTTTTGAAGCTTTTATTCATTCAGAAATAACCAGTGATACAACTACTCTGATAACCCCTGTTAATATAAAAATGATGGTATAACTAATGTTTTTCAGATTTTGCAGTGCAGGAAGCTGTAAACAGGAACAGGAAGTGTGCTCTTTCCCAATGCACTCCTGCCTGTGCTCCCTTGGGTACCACCATTACCTGCTTTACTTAATCCACCTCTACACTGTTCCTTTCTGTGTCCAGGGGGCTCTGGGTGGACACTGTAGTAGTCATTTTTCTCATCATGCGATAAAAGTACCTGTTAGGGAGAGAATGATTTATTTAACTTACGGTTGCAGAAATGTCTGTCCATCACAGCGAAGAGGGGATGGCAGAGCAGAGTAGCTCATATCATGGCAGACAGGAAAGAGTGTGACAGGAAGGGGCCAGCAATAATATACCCCTAAAGAGCTGTCCCACCTCCCGAAGTTTCCAGAACTTCCCAAAATAGTACCACCAGCTGGGGACCAACCTTTTAATACATGAGCCTTCTGGGAGGGGACACTGCATACCCAACCCATAATAGGCACTCTGATGCTCTGGACTCCCTACAGGCTTGTTCCTGCCCCAGGGTCTGTATCCAGAACAAAAGCCAGACTCATAGGGTGCCTTCCAGAGGACCTTACAGCTCCAGAGCCCTGTGCCCCTGAGGCTTTTTATTTGAACTGCATTCTTCTCCCCCTTCCCCTTTATGAACATTGCTCCTTGTGTGTGTGTGTGTGTGTGTGTGTGTGTGTGTGTGTGTGTGTGTGGACTGTTGGCAGAAGGTACTGGGGGTGGGACCAAGGGCCTTGCACATGCCGGTACCACTTGAGCCACACCCCAGCCCTAGGGCAACCTTATGAGTGCCCTTCTTTAGAGGTAGCTACCTTGGGCACACCTTCAGACCATGTGTGTGAAGTTGTCGATAACTTAGGAACTTGTAGGAAAATCTAGCTATAAAATTCCCTTTCTGACTCCTTCCTCTGTCCTCTTAGTTTCTTCTTACCCCTTTTTTTGTACTTATTAAAAAATCTGAGAAGTGGTTGGCTTTGGCACATTTTATTTTTCCTCCTTAGTTATGGTAACCATCAGTTGATTTTATTTTTAAGTGGATATGCCCCTTATCTGAAATCCTAAAGTCATGGATTTTAACCTGTAAAGCAGGAAAGGGCTCTAAAACTGCTTCTGAAACTAGGTACCTACCTTCCATTCTTCACCAGTAAATGGTCCAGGATGCAAGCCCTGTGCTCATACCATTTGGGGCTGGAGTCCTGGTCTGCCCTGCAGGTTGTTCTCTTTGGGCAAGTCACTTAACCAACTGAGCCTCTGTTTCCTAATGTGCAGAATGGACAACTGGGATGATTAAATGAGACGCGTGAAGTGCCTCACATAATGGGGACACTGAGTACTTGCTAGCAGATGTTATTGTTACTGACAGTTTAATTTAGTTAAAAAAATAATAATAGCAAAACATAGATTACTAATGAGGAAACGGGCTCAGGAAGCTAAGAAACTTCTTGGGAACCAGATTAAATTAGTGACCAAGCTAGGACCCAGGACCTAGATGTCTGACACATGGTTCTGCGCATTCCTTCTAAGATGAAGGCTTTGGCTCCAGGCAATACAGTTAAACAAATGAATTCTGTCCTACAGATAGAGAGGAAGCAAGAGCTGTGAGGAGTCAATCTTGGTTGTGAGCTGCTCAGTGGACATCTTAGTGTACACATTAGTTGTGTACAGAGCAGCGTGAGTTTTGGGGCCCTAGAAAGCAAACCTGGGCAGAGACCTTAGCCCACTATGCACTGGTATTTGTGCTCTTTCTGTCTTTGAGAATGACTTCTCTGCCTTTGAGAAGGGGCAGAAATGACTATCCACATTATTACACTATGCAACACTCAGACTGTGTAGTTGCAACAAATCTAACAGCATACTTTACGTACTGCATTATTTGTGTATATTTTATATTTTTTTGTTCGTGTAAGTATAGTCATGTAGCTTCACTAGAATATATAAGCTTCATCTGAGTAGAGACCTTTTGTCTTCTGCATCCTTTTGCTGAATTTGTGAGTAAATGCATTTCCCTGATGCGAAAGTGGAGTGTGGACTCATGTGCCATACAGCTAGTCTGCGGACCCATTTCCAGCTCTGAATGCTAGTCCATCCCTCCTTCCAAAGCCTGACCAGCACTCATAGTTTTCATCATGCCAGTTTTTGTCAGTGTTTCTGTTCAAACTTCCTTATGCTATAAATTTCTTTGTTGTGTTTAATGCAGTGCTATAAAAGTTCCAAGGACCAGCAGCCTCAGATGGAAGTGCCACTCCAAGGCTGCAACATTACATATATCCCGAAAGACAGCAAAAAGAAGAAGCATGAGCTGAAAATCACCCAGCAAGGCACAGACCCCCTTGTTCTCGCAGTCCAGAGCAAGGAGCAGGCGGAGCAGTGGCTGAAGGTAAGTTGTCTGTTTGAGTCTGAGTCAATGTCACTTCTAAACCTCCCTTCCTAAGAGCTGTGGATCCAACCCAGGGCCTCTTGCAGGGTAGGCAAACATCTTACCACTGAGCCATGCTCCCAGCCCCCTTCTGTGTTTATTTTGTCTTTGATAGCTGAACACAGGTTCACAAGAATCCCGTTTCAACTGGCTAGCATCTAAAGGAGGCTGCCCCTCCTTGCAGGCTGCCTCTAGGACTTCCTCTTTTACGCTTATTTTCTGTAGTTTCACTTTATTGTGTCTGGATGTGCATTCTTTTTCATTTATTCTGCTTTGAGTATTTTGGACTTATTAAATGTGTGGATTGTCATTGTTCTGTGTTTCAGAAATAATTTTCAACAACTTTCTTAAAATACAGCTTTGCTCCATGGCCATCTTCCCTGAGACAGTGTTTAATATGCAAGACTTCCACAGTAACACTTGTCTTCTCCTGCATTTACTGACCTTTTTTCTTCTTCTTTTGTCTGGCTTACTCTTTCCTTGTTACCTTCCAGTTCTCTGTTTCTCCCTTTGGTTGTTTCTATTCTGCTGTTTGATTTGTTTTGTTCTCTGTGTTCTTGATTTGATTGTGGAAGGAAGCTGCCTTATTCTGTTCAGGCTGTTCTAATAAAATATGAACAATTTGCCTGTAGAGTTCTGGAGGCTAGAAGTCCAACGTCAAGCTGCCTACAGATTTGGTCTCTGGCAATGGCCTATGTTCTCATAGAGACCTCTTCTCGTTTGTCCTCACATGGTAGAAGGGGGAGGCAACCCTCTGGGGCCTTTTTTACAGGGGCACTAATTCCATCCCTGAGGGTTCCACCCTATGACCTCGTCACCTCCCAAATTCCCTACCTCCTACCTCTACCACTTTGGATGTTAGGGTCTCAACAAATTAGAGGGAACATAGTCTATAGTTTTCAATTCTAGGATTACTAGTTGGTTCATTTTGAAACTGAAAATATCACTTGTATAGTTTTAAATTTCTTTTAGAAATATTTTTCTCCCTTGATCTTCATGAATGTAATAGGCATGGAGGTTCTGACTGTGAGCTTTGACAAAGTGGGACCTGGTTCTGTTGTCTCTTGGCTCCTTCTTGCTCAGGTCAATTTTTCTTGTTGTATGTTGGGGTATCTGGTGTTCATGCTGGTTATTGTATTTGGGAAGTAAATTATTGAAATAATTTTATAATAGTTTTATTGAGGTATAATTCACATACCAAAAGTTCACCTTTTTAAAGTACAACTCATAGGTTTTAGTATTTCACACAGTTATGCAGCCATCATCATAACAGGACATTTTCTTCACCCCCAGAAAAGCACTGAACCCACCAGCAGTCACTGCACCCACCCACCCCCCAGTCCTTGGCAGCCATGAATCTGCTTTCTGTCTCTGGACAGCTGCCTGTTCTCAGCATTTCACGTACATGGACTCCTGCTACACATGGCCTTTGGCAACTGGCTTCTGTCACTCAGCATCCTGCTTCAAGGTCCACACTTTATCCTTTTTATGTCATATGTGGAAAACCATCGCTGAATCCAAGGCCCTGGTGACTTTTACCCATGACTTTTTCTTATGGTGTTAGCTCTTGAATTGAGGTTTATGGTGCAGTCTGACTTTATTTTTACATGTAGTGTGTGGGAGAGTTCACTGCATTCTTCTTCATGTGAGTGTCCAGTGGTCCCTGTGGAAATAAATTTATACCGAGGACTGTGTGTTTTCTTCCACCCTCAAGCCTTCTCTTCTGCCTCTGTCACTCATTCGGGGTGCTGGCTCCCACATATCAGTGTGGTCTCATTTCAGAGCTTGTACTTCACAGCTTGAGTTCTGCCTGTGGTTCATTTCAGGCTGGCTTAGCTCTCTTTCACTCATTCCAAGGAATATTCCTTGTGGTCCCCACCCCGATGGTGAGGGTTTTGCCAGGTGCCTCGCTCCCCCTTCCCAAAGAGCCAGCACAGGTGCTGCCTGGTCTCTCTGCTGCCCCCTCTAGGGTGACCCTCTGCATTCCTGGTTCTTCTGGTTCTTGGCCAACAACTCCATACTAGCACAGCAGTGCCTCCTGCTTATAGGAGGGCACTGAACATGTTTGTCTAGCCCATCCTTACCTGTGTTACCTGTTGTGAACACAGGGTGGGGAGATGGGGACACTTTATAACTGTGCTTCCTGTCATACCTGGGTGTCCTGGAAACCATGAGCAGGAAGATTCAACTCTGGATGGCCACCATGCCTTGACTGCATACAGAACACACATCTGAGGTCTTTTTAATTCTGTCAGCAGTGGCTCTGGCTTCCTGAAATCTGTAACCTAGAGGTTGAGGAGAGCATTTTTCCTGGTTCTGTTGTCCTGGAGTCAGGACAACTCCTGACTCCTGTGCTCAGGAGTTTCTCCTGCAGGGTTTGCATAGCCGTCTAGAGACTCAGACCTCCTTGTGCTATAGACCAAAGCTCACAGTCAGGGTCTCAGAGCCTTCCAAGGTTGGCAGAGCACTTTCCTACCTTTGTCTCTTAACTTCATGTCACTATTAGTGTTTCATGTGACAGCTGCAGGATCACGTCTTATGCCACCCTCCTCTGTGATCAGCAGGGATCAAGCTGAAAGTTAAGATCAAGTTTTCTGACTTCACATTTCATTCTCATTCTGTGGGGTCATCTAATGGCTTGCCATTTTCTCTTCTGTCCTTCACTTGTGTGATCTGAGCCCTATACCTCAGTGAGGGGAAGCACAGTCACGGAGCAAGCGAGAAGCCATCTGGATGGCCGTTTCCTGCCCCTTGTCCCACTCTTGGCTGGCTGGCCCCTGTTTGGTGCTTAACTGCCCCTTAGTGGAGAGCATTGGAGGACACCCTGACTTGTGAGCCTTCTCCTACTTCCCCTGCCCTCCTGATTGTTGGACAGCGCACACCTGCTACAGAATCACGCCCTCACTGCTGTCGCTGTGATGTGATGTCCTCTGTGCAGCTGACATACAGTGCAAACGGCACTGCATGATGCTGATGGGGTGAAATGGGCTTGCACCCTGCTTCCCTGGCACTGAGATACTTGCAGACAGAGGCATTTAGCTGAATGCCAGCTAATTTCAAGAACTTTGATTGTAGTGTTGCTGGTGTTTCTTAAAAGGGCGGTGTATAACACAGGGTAAATGATCTGTTTCTGGGAGTTTGAATTGGGTAGTTACTCTAATGTTTGCACTGTTATCTCCATAACATCAGACAGTAGGAGAAGAAGGAGCTCTGATTAGAAATGAATGCCATATGGCACCATCATTTCCCTCATTACAGGATTTTAGTTATTTTTGACTAGCTGAGTCCTGAGATGGTCTAGTCTAGTTTCTCCCAGATATCATTAGTGGTCAGTCAGCTGCCTTACCAGAATCACCTGGAGACTTTAAAAATAGGTTCTCAGTGGTTCTGATTTATTAGGGACTTAAAGATCTTTTTTTTCCCTTGTTTTCTTTGTATTACTATTGTTTTATTTTATTTTTTTTTTTTGGTGGTACTGAGATTGAACTCAGGGCTTACTAGGCGAGCCCTCTACCCTTGAGACATATGCTTAATCCTTTTGTTTTAGTTTGTTTTTCACATAGGGTCTCATGGTTTTGCCAGAGAGCCTCCTACCCCTGCCTTCTATGTAGCTGGGACTACAGATAGGTGCCACCATGCCTGGCCTCTCATATCTTTTTAAGGGAACTTCCATCCTGAATTTAGTCTTTATTGGTATATGGGTATGCTTTGTTTTCCCTTGTATTTTTGGGGGTGGGCATCTTTCCCCACTCCAAGTGTAAGGCTTGGAACCCAGGTCCTTGTGCTTGCTAGGCAGCCCTCTACTACAGAGCTACATCCCCAACCTGTCTGAGTGTGCTTTTTAACAAGTGCTTCCACCTATGTGTGCATATCCATGAGCAATCTAGTTTCTTATTTTAAAATTTCTACATAAAAGCTTCAGGGTTTGGTCACTCAGAATTGTCTTGTCCCCATACTCATGGGCTTATGTGCTGTGAGTACTCTGTGTGTCCCCTGGGCCATGTGTCATGGCCACAACAAGACAGGTGCCTCACATGGGACCTGCTGGTTGAGGATGTGAACTTACTCATCACTTGACGTTGCAAGTTGTGGTGTTGTCTGTACTCTTTCACCTTGGCCAGTGTGTCGGAGAGCAGCCATTGTTTTCCATGCATCTGTCAGTTTCTCTGTGCATACGAAGCAGACAGAAATCCAGACTTAACCCCTCAGCCTCTCCTGTTCTTTACACCTGAACAATGTAGAGACCAGAGCACTTCCTCTTTCCATTTTACAGTATGTAATGCCTCAGCCTGTGAGTGGGCCATGGGGAAGAAATCTTCCATTCAAGGGCAGCAGGTTGTTTCAGTCTTTTGCTGTGATAGACAATTTCATAATAAACAGCCCAGCATATGTCACTCCACACTTCACTCCTCTGTAGGCTAAATCCCAGCAGGAATGGCTGCCTGTGTGAAGGTTTTACCATCTGGAATCTGGATATGTTGCCAGCTCACTCTTCTCCGGGAGGGTTACCAATTTTCTCTCCCTCCAGCAATAAAAGATTGGCCAACAGAGTATGTTAGCAAACTGTTGAACTCTTTCCCTCCTCCACCCCGCCTTTTATCTTTTCTTTCTTTTTATTCCCACAGAAGACAGGTAATGCACGGGCATTGTAACGTATTAAGGGAGGTACATCTTACACAATGGTGTGAAAGCCCCATCACCATGCTTATGAACCACTGAAGGACACTGGAGACATGGCAGTGGTGTCATAGCACCTGAGGTTTCAGGCAGAATTAGATGAGCCGAGTTGAAACAGAGTTTCCAAGTGATTTTAAAGTGCTTTGAGAATCACTCAAGAATCACACAAGTTGACAGCACACACTGTCAGTGTAGGTCCTGGATCCTGGGTGAGCGTGTGTCTATGTACAATTTAAATGTCTTATGTGCTGTGCATAAGGGGCCAGCTCTCTGAGCCTGCTGTTGGTTGTTTGGGGTTTGGTTTTAGCTCAACAGCCAGTGTCACCTTGTTGGTCTCTGCCAGTTACTCTTGCCCCTGACCTTTTGTGCCTGGAAGACATCTCTCTGCCCTGCACTCTGTATCCCAGTGCATTGCTGCCTTATGCACTGGGAAGCCAGAACCTCCCTGGAGGGGGTTCACTACACTTCCTGCCTCCCTTGCAGAGCAGGTGCCTTGCACCTGGGACGAGTGCTTTGTATCTCAGGGCTGTCTGAACCCTGCTCCCTTGCTCATGCCTTCTGTGTCATCCTCACATGCTCAGGAGGGGCTCCAGAGGGGCTGGTCAGTGAGTGTAGGCTCCGTCCCCCATTGGGCACCTTGGATTTTAGCCAGCAAGTCTAGCTGCGTACATGACTGTGACATCTTGGCAAGGCTCTTCCCTTTGCCCCACTATCACGGTGTCCCTCCACCCACCATCCCACCAGGTAGAGGACACGCATGGATCTCCTCTTTGTACTACGTCTACGTCTCTTCACGTTTAGGAGTTAGTTCATTAAGGTTTCTCTGCATCTTCATTGCTTGGGTGGACTGGAAGAGCACTATGACTTCTTTAGCTCCTTTTGCATTTCTCAGGGCGAAGGTGATAGTCTTGGGTGTCTTTTCTCTTGGGTGTCTTGCCCTCTTTTCTTTTCATCAGTCTTACTGGAAGTTATCAATTTTATTAGTTCTCTCAAAAACAAACAAATTTTGGCTCTCGATTTTTTTTCTGTAGTATGGTTGTTTTCTACTTTATTTAAAATTCTCTTTTACCTTCAGCATTTTGCTTCTGTGTTTGTGTGCCGCAATTCATGGTAGTTGTCCTACTTTCTTGAAGTGGACACAAGCATCCTTGAGCTTTAGCTGTTTTTCTTTGTGCTTAAAACTATTTCCTTATAGCTGCATCCTATATGTTCTGATATTTTATGCTTTTATTGTCATTCAGTTCAAAATATTTTGTAAGTTATATTGCTTTCTCTTTTACTAATGGTGTATTTAGAAATACATTGTCTATTTTTCCAATATTTGGTGATTTAAAAAATTGTGTATTTAAAAAATTTCTAATTTAGTTCCAATTTAGTGTTATGACTATTGATTTCATAGCTTAGAAATTCACAGACCTGTTTTATTGTTCAGTGTATAGGTAGTTTTTGTAAATGTTCTGTCTACTTACAATGGGTATGTAGCTTTCAGTTGCTTGATGTACTGGTGTATATATATTTGTACATCACAGACTGTAACTATCAGGTTCATGTCTTCTGTATCCTTAATAATTTTTTCTTGTTTTTTTTTCAAAATAATATGAAACCTTGTAGTGATGGTTTTGTGTGAAGTAAGTCAATGCTATTGTCGTAGCTTTTTATTTCACCTCATAAAGGTCACAGCTTTATGATTGGGATAGACTAAAAAAAGAACTGTGATCATTAAAAAAAAAAAATTCTCCACCTTGCTGGAAATTGGTGTGTCTGTCAGAGAGAGAGGAGCAGGGTGGGGACTGGGAATCCAAAGTATGCCCTGGGAGTGCCCCTGACTCGTGGTGTTTGGGTCATCTGTGTGTCAAATGGAGGTAATGCTTATGAGAATTATCAACAAGGTAGAAGGAGAAGATGACCTGAGTGCATCTGTAGAGCCATAACGAACAGCCAAAATATGAAAATATGGTAATGCTTCTATCACTCCTTCAGATTCCTCCGGAAGCTCTAAGACAATATCAGGAATTGGTTTATGAGCCTAGGCTGCTTTATCTCACATTGTTCAAAACTTGTGATCCCGGATTTTGGTATTTTGAAACATGGCTTTAATGTAACAATTAAAAATCCTTTAATTACTACACACATGCCTTTGCCAAGCATGACAAACATGAGGACGGCGCTAACGTACACATGACTGCACACCCATCATCAGTCACTGCTGCCAGAGCCGTTTCTCTTGTCTGCCTGTAACTTCCATTACCAGCAGCTCTTGCCAAAATTAACTCGTGTGTGTGTGTGTGTGTGTGTGTGTGTGTGCATGCACACGTGTGCCCATGCTGCAAACACGGGCCGTTGCATAGAGGTCAAACAGAAGACAAGAGCCAGTATTCCCAGAAACAAAATGGTCGGGTTTCCTTAAAAAATGTGCAGAGATTGTGTTTCTAGAGAGGATGGTTCAAGTTAGAAACAAACAAAATACCACAAACATAAAACGATTTGTTTTTGGAGGACTTGTGATTTTGCTTTTGAATAACTGTCTTAAATACTTGTTGAACTTCTCACAAAACACAGCTCTTAAATAGAAATGGTATAGAGCTTGTTCACAGGCCTTCTAGAGACCCTTATCTATCACTCTCATTATCTGTCATTCAGCCCTGCAGGTGCTTTCGTACTGAGCAGACACTCTATGGCTTTGGGGTTGTAGCAGGGCAGACTGGTGGACTCTCATGGCAGGAGCAGGTGGCAGAGGATCTGTTCACCTCATGGTGGTCAGGAAGAAAAAACAGAGAAAGGGGCCAGGGTCCCCATATCCCCTTCAAGGACATTCCCTTGGTGACCTGTCTTGCTCGCAGTAGGCTCTGCCTCAGGCTGGCACCAGGGCCTTTGGGGACATTTCAGATCCAAACCACCCCAGGAGACCCAAGTAGGCTGCCTGGAGACAGGAGGCCAGGCTGAGTGCTAAAGGAGGAGCTCTGTTTAACTATGAGGAAATGCACACCTCTGACAGGGAACACCACACACACACACACACACACACACACACACACGAGGCTGGTGAGAATATATGGAGTAGCTCTGCCAAAGACTGTGCATATCGTCCCCCATTTTGGAACAAGAGCGACAGAGAAGACAGGTGTTTTTGGAATGAGAGCTTTTGCCAAGGCTGTAGGTCTCTGTGGGCTCTGTTTTAGGGAGTGCACCCTTTTAGTACAAAATGAAGCACTTGTCAAGTTCAGGTTTGTTTGTGTAATTGAAACACATTTTCCTTTATTTAAAGCTGTAATTGTGGGAAAGAGCTGAGGTTTACTTAAGGCTGGTTATGGGAGAGGTGCTGGGCGGCTGCTTCACACTTTCCACCAGTCCTTTTTCACTGCAAAGTCCTGAGGCATTACTTTATGTATGTTTTAGTTCAGAGTGAGGCTCAGCCTTGCTCAGGTAGCAAGTGGAAGAACTTTGTTGAGCACAAAATTTCAGGAGTTTCCCATTATATTACACTCCTTCCCTGGAGAAAAGACAAAGTCTTGTCCTAAATTAAATATAAATGTGCCTTCTCAATTGAAGATTTAAGGATTGGGGCAGGGGAGGGAATAAAAACATACAACAAAAAAAAGTGAAATTAGCATGGAAGTGAGGCAAGCAGAGAGAGGAATGGCCTTTCACCTCCTGCTGCGGTAGAGAAGCCAGCCTTTCCCTCAGGCTGCCTTTGGAAGGCTCTGGTCACTGGATGGGCGTCACATTTGGTCATGCTTTCACACTTCAGAATTTGTAAGGGGGAAAACATTGCAGTGAGCCCTTGGGGCTTCTTTAATTTTCTTCCTTTCCTTTTCATCTCCAGTGTGGACCCCTGCTCTGTTGTTTGCTCAGGGAGGGCTGAGGGGAAAGGCAGCTGGAGACACTGCCTAGAGTCAGATCCAGCATAGCCAGGCAAGTCTGGAGCTGGGTTGAGTTGCACAGTGGCTACATGGATATCTGGACTATGGATTTGACTCACATTGCAACTGAATTCCAAAGAGAGTAGACAGCATTTTGAGATGTTTTACTGCTGACTTTGCAGAGGAGAATGCAAGTTCCACACGTGCTTGGACTTGGTCTATCATTCTTAGTTCACATCCCCACTCCCAGGCCATGGCCATGTCTGGCTGTTGTATGAGCTCAGGAGTGATGAAGTAATGAATGAGTGACCATGTAGGGATGAGCCAGCTGCAAAGGCACTGATGCTAGGATCGTGACCCCCAGGGTGGCCTTCCCACCTGTGTGCAGCTACCTTCCAATCACTCTGAGCTGACAGCCTGAGTTTTAAAGACACTCATGTTAGTGACAGTGCTGACAATCACAGAAGCCCCCTTTTGAAGGTGGCAGTGCCAGAAACCCACTTGGGCATCTTGTGTGCAAGGTCTCATGCTCTTTATTTAGCCATGTCCTCTTGACTCTTTTCTTTGCTAGTGAGAAAACTGAGGCTCAGAGAGGATAAATACTTTTGTCAAGGCTGCATAACTAGGTTCTTGCCTTGAAATTCTCTGAGGAAATAGAATTAGACAGGAACATTCTCAAACTCGAGCCCGAACTCCTGCATCTGCACGCTGCCCTCTGTTCAGGGAGATGGCACCTTTAGCAAGAAAAGCGTCCCTCTGCCAACCTTCTCCCTCCAGCTGTGTCTTGTCCTTCCTTCACACTCTTTTTCCCTCCAGCTGGGCTCTCTCCAGACTCTCTGCTCCCCTGTCAGAGGGATCCTCTCATGGGGTCACCTGTCTGCTGTCTCCTGGCTCCCCTCCTTCCTGGAGTCCTCTTCTCCCCCCAGACCTGAAGTGTTGTGTGACTCCCTTTCCTTATAGTGCTACTCCTCACAGCACTGGGGACGAGGTCCTTTTACTGTTGTAGCTCTTAATGCTGCCTTATGTCTTTTGGTAACGCTTACTGTTTGTGATGATATCTGAACTACATGGGAGGAAATTCCACAAGAGTTGGAACCTTGAACGCATTTTTCTACTGTTTTCCCAACTCTGGGTCAGTACAAGATGGACAGTGGTTTGGTAAATGAGTGAGTGAGTGAGTGGACACAGAAATTCTGCCATCATTCCATGTCAGGCGCTGTTGACCCTGAGTTCCCACTGTACTGTAGGCTGCTGTTCTCATGTGGTTTGACCACTCTTGGGGTTTCTGCCTCTAGTTAGACTCAGGCTGTGTCTCTACTTTCCACAGGTAATCAAGGAAGCCTACAGTAGCTGCAGTGGCCCCACAGATTCAGAGTGTGCTGCCCCACCAGGCGCCCAGTGCACAAGGCAGAGCTGGAGAAGGTAAGGCACCTCCTGCCCGGGTGGTGACCTCACACAATGTGTGGCCCTCTCCACTCGGAGGAGGGCGTGGCTTTGTTAATGTGTTCATTTTCACAGTCGGCGTGCAGCTTCATTGCACACAGTGTGACATTTTCATGCACACTCAAATCATGGTAACACCTCAGGCCTTGGTCATCTCATTGTGCTGGGTCCTTCAGTTTTGCTCGAAGTTTTCACCACACTCTGAGAATTTCTGCACCGCTGTTTGAAGAAGGCCTGCAGTCCTGCCTTGTTTGCATTTTCAGGGCCTGTTTTGGACTGAGCTCTCAGTAGTCATTTCATGGACTGTGTGGTTTGTTTTATTCCCAGTGATGGATGGAGACGTGGATTTAAAGGTGTGAACACTGTATTGTACTGAGTGAGGTCTGAGTGCAAGTCTATCTCTGTGCAGGACACAGCAACAGTTTATAAATATGGCTCCCCGAGGTTTATTCCCAACAGGCCAGGATGCAGCTCCGTGTCTCTGCTTTGTGCTCACTTTCCTATTGGAAGGCAGAGTAAGAACACAGCCATGTGCAGGAGGTGGGAGCCTGCTGTCTGAACACCCCTGCTTGCCAGAAGTATGTGGGCCCATCACTGTGGCTCCATGTGTCCAGGTCTGCTCACACACTATTTGTTGTACATAATTGACACTATTTTCTTAGAGACCCCTGGCTTCCGACCTGCCAGGCTTTTTGGTCTATCCAGGCCTTCACAGGCCTTTGGCCTCGTTGGGCAGGCCCATCCATCATGGAGGACAACTGCTTGCTCAGAGTCACTGATTTAAGTCATCTAGAAACACCCACTAAGTTGACACATAAAATTAGCTATCTCATATTTTGACAGAACTGACCTGTTCTTGTTTTTTTTTTTTTAATTCCTGACTTTAAAACTAATTCCTGCTAATTGTAGAAAATTTAGAAAGACTAGGCTGGCCTCAAAATTTGTAAGACTCCTGTTTCAGCCTCCTGAGTTGGGATTACAGGTATGTATTACCATGCCCAGCTCTTTTCTTCCTTTTTGAAGCTATCTTCTAGCACCTGCCAGACCTGGATTCCATGGGATGCTGATAGATGTGAATGCCTGGCAGTGCTGGCTCTCAGTCATAGCACAGTGAACTCAGCACTTACTACGGCATTTGTAGGATTGCAGACATCTGTCTGCCCTCCTTGGCCACTTCACCTGGTCTTGCATTCCAAGTTGAACTTGTGTGCTCCTTATGTCATGGGAGTTGTCTACAGATTTCACCTGTCTGGCTGACCAGTTTCTGTGGCTCTGGGGGTGGTCTGGAGGACATTATTGTGACCGAGGACCCACAGGTTTCTGGATAGGGATGGAAAGAGCCCACGTGCAAACACTGTACCTCATTCAGATGCTCATGTGGAGCCCTAATTATACTCATTAAACACAGATATTAGGACTGAGGTCATGATGAGTGTCCCAGCCCTTGTTCCTTTCTGAGTGAACGTGTGACAAGCATACTTGACGCTCACCCAGTTGCTGGTGAATAAAGGAACATTTATTTCTGAAGGAGAATGTGGCTCAGTGAGGGAATATTTTTTATAATCCTAATATTTTTTCCAAAGTGGTGTGCAGGAAAAGTGGTTTAAGTGAAACAGACCTGGTACTCACTCCTTCCGTGTGAGTATGGTACACCACAGTGAGCTGTGATGTCTCAAAGCAGTCCTGGCGGTCTAACTAGCCTGTAGGTTGAGTTCAGCCCACATTTTCTCCCCTTTGCAGAAAATTTCACTGACCTATCAAACATCACAGGCCATGTGGCCATTGGGGGAATAACATAGCCCTTTGTGTCCTTCCAGAAACTGTCTTCAGAGAGACCCAGCTCCGACGGAGAGGGCATCATGGAAAATGGGATCACCACATGTAACGGGAAAGAGCAGGGTGAGTGTTCACGTGTGCCAGAACATGCAGACTTCAACACAGTGGCAACTATGACGGGATTATATGAAAGGTGCCAGTGCTCCGTCATGCCAGTGTCACCATCACAGTCCTGGTCACACTGATGTCTTGCCAGGCCTCCACCGCAGCTGTTCCTGGTCTTCATTCTGCACCTTGTGCTCTGAGTACTCACAGTAGGCTGCTCCCCACGGACTGCTCTGAGAAGCACTGTCCCAGGAGCAGACGTGTGTTGCTTAGAGACCTCTGGGTCATCTGTCCTGAGCATCTGTTCCCCATTGCTGAGTCTCCATTTCTAACCTTTAAAATGAGGCCAGTCCTACAGGTTTCTGATTTCTGAGAATGTATTCATTTCACCCTACATTTAAATTTCTGTAAATGGTGGTAAAATACAGCACACTGTAGAATTTGCCATCTTAAGCCAGTTCTGGGACATTCAGCCTATTCACAGTGCTGTGCAGTCATCACCTCCTTCCATCTCCAGAACTCTTCCATCTTCCCTGTGGAAGACCTGTCTCCATTAAACAGTGACTCCTGGTCCCCTTTTTCTTCTTTTGCTTCAGAAGCCTCCAGGGGTGGAGACCTGTGGTGTCAGTTTGTGACTGGCTCATCTCACTTAGCATAATGTCTTCAAGGCTCATCCATATTGTAGCTGTGTCAGAGCTTCCTCCCTTTTTGAAACTGACTAGTGTTCCATTCCGTTGATGCATCTGTCTGTCCATGGGCTCTGGGTGGCTTCTACCTCTTGGCTGTTGTGGACAGTGCTGCTGTGAGTCAGGGTGCCAAGTTGGTTGACATCTCTGTTTTGAACTCAGTTTCGTAGCAGTACAAATTACAGTGGAATTCACACTTGTAGGCCTACAATTCTGTGAGCGTTGATAAACACCGTCAGACATGTAACCATCACCACAGTCAACACAGAGAACATCCCTGTAACCCCAAATGTTCCTTTGTGCTCCCTCTGTCACCTCTGCCCTACCCCAGCCATGGCAGCTGCCAAGATGGTTCTCAGCGACCATGGAGGTGTGGGTAGGAATAGCTCAGCCTCTGGGTGACTCTTCTCCTTAGCGCAATGCTCTGACATTCCCTTTGTCACAGCTGGCATCAGCACTGTGCGGGCAGAGCTCCCCATGTGGATGAACTCCAGTAGTTATGCTGCCCCAGTTATTCATTCCAACATGCCTGGAAAGGCCTTTGCATGGACATGTGTTCTGAGGCAGGGGTGGATTGCGAGGTCCCATGGACTCTCACTGCCCCATCACGGCTCGTTTCTGTTTGTCCTCTCTGTTCTGCTGCTCACACGCTGTGGAGTGGTGTGCAGCTGTGGTCTCCCTAGTGATTCACATTGTGGGGCATTTTTACTGTGCTCAATGTCATGCATGTCCTCTGCTGGGATGCCCACTCGGGTCCTTGGCCTGCGTTTTTGCCAGGTGGCTTGTCTCATTTAGCTTGGAGAGCTCTCTGAGTGCTGAGTGTAAGGGCTTGAGCAGACCCTCTTTGCACACACTTCCCCAGTCTGGCTAAATCTCAATCTCCTGAGTGCACTGAGCTGAGGGCTGTGGCTCGTGGTGGATGAGGATTGCTGTCCCCACACAAAGCCAGGCCACTGTACTCTCCTTAGACCTGCGACTGTGGCTGCTCAGGTGAATGACCTGAGCACCCAGACCCTGTCCTTTATGGCCAGCTTAAAACAATCCCTCTCTACCTGGGAAGTGATGTCATCCTACAACAACAGCAGGCTCCTGAGAACCCCAGAGCCCAGACAATCTGACTGCCACCATTAGAGTTCACTCTGAAAGGTCAGGCTGTCTGCTTCCTCATTGTGGTTTTCCAGCTCAGTCCTGTCTGAGTGTAATTTTAGTCCTGTGCATCGGAAGCTGCTCAAGGGAACATATTATCTGTGCCTTCCACAGGCATATTATGTATAATCACAACTGGGGAGTGATCTTTAGGTTTCCCTGAAGTAAGATAACACGATTACATGTTATGGTCCTGCTTTGCTGTTTTGTTTGTTTCAGGGATTTTTGTTTTGCTTTGTTTTGTTTGTGATGGTGTGGGGTCTCACTGTGTTATCCGTGCTGGTCTTAAACTTGTGGCCTAAAGGCATTCTCCTGCCTCATCCTCCCAAGTAGCTGGGACAACAGAGACATGCCACTGCACCCAGCTCTTGCCTCACTGCTGAGGCACAGTGCACACTGGCTTAGCTGCTATGCTTTCTTGTGTCTTATTTCTTATCCCAGTGTACTCGTGTAAGGTGAGGGTCTGTCTGAATACATGTAGCCTGAATACATGTAGCCCTTTTAACTAGAGCACCTTCTGTGCTTTGGAAATATTATTATTATTATTATTATTATTATTATTTTGGCAGCACTGGGCTTTGAACTCAGGGCCTCATGCTTCCCAGGCAGGTGCTCTACCACTGGAGCCATTCACCAGCCCTTGTGTTTTGAAATTAAAAGGTGACATGGTTCAGACATTTTCCTTTGGCTTGCACTGTGCCTTGCACAGGTATAGCTCAGTAAACAGTCACTGAAAGAAGCAAATGGTTAAACGCAGCCCAACCTTCTCTCGGTTTCCTCCTGGCTGCATACTCCTGGCTGCTTGGCTGTGGAGAAATTTTACCTGGGCTTCCTTAGTCCGTCTGTGTGGTGACTCACATGGGTTTCTCTGCCAGCTGCCTCCACGGCTTTGCCTATATATTACAGTCTCACTGAAGATGACAACTCCAGACTCCATTCGGTCAAAGCCAAGAGCTTGGCTCTGAAACTCTTCTTTGAAGGTGGACCCCTGGGTGTCAGACACCAATGCAGTGTGGTTTTCAGTGAATCAGTAAATGTCACATCGATGCTGTCACTACTATGAGGAAAGAGGATCCAGGGCTTCATACCAGGCCCTTTGGTGATGGTTCTTGAAGAGCACTTAGTACCTTTGAGATTCGGTCACTGGCCAGACAGTCTGTGGGTACACTTACTGAATAGGTCATCCCATGGTGTTATCCTCATCCTCCCTCCCTCCCACAGCCTACATAAGGAGCCAGTGTTGATAAACTGGAGTAAATCTATGGCCCAGCTAAGGAGAGCCTTGGGGAGGGTGCCTTTTGGCTGCTCACTGTCCTGGCTGCCAGACACTGAGCTTGGCTGGAACAGGAGGGAGGTGGAGAAGCTTGTGTGTAGGCTCCTGCATCAGTGGTGAACGGCTGGCCACTGCTGCTTTCCCTCTGGGTTTAGTTGAGCCAGAGTGAAGATGACCCAACTGTCCTGACCGCAGATTCTGTCTGGGTGACAAGGAGCTGTGCCTTTGCACTGAGGCTTTGAAATGGGTTCCCAGGACAGTGCTTCGAAAGCAGTGTGTGGGAGGACGTGGGGAAAGGGTGGGAGAGAGGGCAGGAATGGCCTTCTCTGTGCTTTGTTTCTGAGATCATATGAGGCCTTAATCTGATTATTTAAAATAACACAAACATGATAGGACCATGTTGCATCACTCAGCATGGGCTGTGGTAACTGGACACCACAGGCGTCGTTCTTTCACAGTTCTGGAGACCAGAGGTCCAGGGTCCCAGCAGCAGCAGGCTTGGTGTCTGCTGAGGCCTCTCTTCCTTGCTTATAGCTGGCTGCCTTCTCTGTGTGTCCTCATGCAGTCCTGTGTTCCAGTGGAAGGTCTTTGGGAAGGGGCCCTGCAGTCTCGCTCCAGTGCACAGTGCCTTTGGGAGACGGAGTGGCCAAGTCTCCTCTTTCAGAGTTACTCTGGGCCAGAAGGAAGAGCCATGTCTCTCTGCCCTTGTGCTCTCATGCATCTGTTCTGATGTCCTCCCTGATCCCATCCCAACATCACTGGGTTCATAGACTATGCAGTGTCTATGAGGACAGGAGAGGGGTGTGAGTGACTGAGCTGGGAGAACTCTGGATAGGGCAAGTGGAGTGAGTGTCCAGTGATGGGCAAGGGCCCCCTGAGAGGAACTAGCCCTCCTTCGCTCCCCGCAGACCCCCCCTTGGCAGCCAGGCTGCAGCTGCACTGCTTCCTTCTGCTCCTTGCACCCTTTGTGCTGCCACTGGCTGACAGCCTTACTCAGCTGATCCTCCTCTTGCCTGGTCAGGTCTCCTGGGAGATGGGCAGGCTCCTTCCCCATCACTGAGTGCTCAGCTGTGAGTCAGCTTTAGGCAGGTGCTCTCTTGCCTCCCAGCAGCTCTCCCATGTAACCTTGTCCAGAACTCCACGTGTCTTTGCCACCACTTAACATCTTTTGTGAGCATTTATGTGCCTGTGCACCTGTGTGTGCACTTGTGCATGCCTGTGTGTGTATCTCTGTATGTGTACCAATGTGTTCACACCTGTGCATGTGTGTACTTCCTGTGTATGCACACATGATTTCATCCTCTCTGGACTACAAGCTTCTTGAGCTTAGCCTGGGTCCTGCTGTGACCTCAGTTTCTGGACTCCCAGCTGACACGTGGCAGGGGCTTATGGTGCATGATAAGTAAAAGGAGAAAAGAAGAAATGGTGATTTATGCTTTATTTTCAGATAATATCTGCAGTTAAAACATGCCTTTTTGTTGTTGTTGACAGTGAAGAGGAAGAAAAGTTCCAAATTGGAGGCCAAGGGAACTGTATCTAAAGTCACTGGGAAAAAAATCACCAAGATCATCGGTTTGGGAAAGAAAAAGCCCTCCACAGACGAGCAGACCTCATCTGCAGAGGAGGATGTTCCTACCTGTGGTGAGACCCCATGGCTACGCAAGGCTGTCTCCTAGCTCCTAGATGTGCTGTGTGCCGCTGGGCTCCTCTGCTCAGGGCACCTGGTTTCACTGCTGGGAAATAGGTTGGCAGGCATCTGAGCTGCAGGAAACAGGCTTGCTTGTCATTGATGGAGGATTTTGCCAGGAACGGGAGATGATCTGGGGTCCTTCCAAAGGAAAACATGTCTGTTGGTCCTGCAGCATTCTCCAGTTTCCCTCCAGTGTTTCCAGACTAGGACCCTGCTACGTGCTGTGGATGAACAGAGGAGGGAGGACAGAATGTAGGCACACACAGGGACCAGGTACAGCCCCTTTGCTTGGGCTGCAGCACTGGGACCACATGTTCTGCAACTTCAGACTTCTCAGATGCAGTTTCAGATCCTGATCAGCCAGCCCTCCTCCCCACCCCCGTATCCTCCATCTCTCATCCATTCAGCAGTTTCAGGCAGCCACTGTCTATCAGGGAGTGTGGTGAGCATATGGTATAAAGTAACCACCAAAACAGGCCCCCTCTTAGACCTTGCCATCCAGGAGCTAAAGCCAGAGACAAAACAAGGAATGGTAGAAATGGTTGTGCAGTAATCAGCCCTGGTCAGCCATGGAGGGGACAAGGAGGTAGTGGGAGTGCATCACAGCACCATAGGTAGAAAGGGTGGGCCATCAGGGTGTCTCTGTGAAAAAACAGGTGAGAGTCCACACAGGTAATGTTTTCTCAGCAACTAAGCTTAGAAGACTCATGTAGGCTTTTAAGGAGGAAAACTAAGCTGAAAGATGAATATTTTCTTTTGTTTTTTTTTTTTAGTTTTGTTGTGCTGGGGATGGAACCCAGGGTTTCCTGCATGATAGACAAGCACCTTGCTCAGAGCTATTTCCTTTCTTTAGAACATTAAGGATGGGCTTTTATTTTCCTTGTTACTGGTATTGTACATTCAGCTCTCCAGTGATTAAATCCATGTTTTCTTTCATCTGTCATCTATTTTTAACTTCTCTACACCATCAAGCATGTGTTACATCTGTGAAACCAGGTTTCATTTGGGATGTCCAAAGTTAGTGTTAAATAAATTGAGTCCTTCCCAGTTGGGCCGAAGTTGAGCCATGCGCACAATTTGTCCATTGGTGGGTTTCTTCTTCACTACTGTGAGTTTTTGCTGGAAGGATCCTGCCAGAACTGAGCCCATGGTGGTGGAACAGTATTGATTGTAGACTGCTGGGCAGCAGAGAGGGCTAGAGGACCCAGGACTGAGCTGTCTGGAAGGGTGGACCAGGTAAGGCCTGGCTCCCTGCTGGCTTTCACAGTTGTGGTTCTAGGATGGTGCATACGTACCGATTGTTGTGAATGGAATAAAATCGTCAGGGCAGGCCACAGTGAAGGCCCTGTGGGGTAAAAGGGTCATCCTGGAGAGATCCAGTCCAAGTGGCTTCCTGTGGTGCTGAGTCAGGGAAGACTGGTGATGGCACCATATGGGGGCCAGTCACCGAGGAGGCTGAGGCATCCCAGGCTCTGAACTGACCTTGGTCAGTGCAGCTGGAAGACAGAAACAGGGCAGTTTATTCTGCTGCTCTTTATACCTCTCATCCTCTGCCACAAGGACAGGACCTGGCTGTGGTTCAGCCAGCTGAACCGAGCTGTGACACAGCTCAGAGAGTCAGGGAGACCACTGCGTTGCTTCCTGGTGGCCTTGGCCTTCCTGGAGCACTTGGATTTGTGGCCTTATCTCCCCTTACATCAGCTCTTGCAATAGGATAGGAGCTATGGACTAAAATGAGCTTTGCTTTTGTTTTTTAAACTGCTCCAGGTCAGTGGAGGAATAGAAATCCTCTCCTGAGAAACAACTGCACTCTAATAGGAAAGACAGTTTAGAAACTCTCGTGTAAGTGGGAACACACATTCAGAGAGATTGTGTGACTTGCTCTGAGTCACACAGCTCATGGAAGGCAGAGCTGGCCCCCACCTAGCCTGCTAATGCCCTGTGGCTCACATCTTCTCCCTACCCCTCTTGTCCAAAGAGCTGACCACTCACAGGACTCCCAGCAAGCAGCTCTGGCTGTGTTGGTGAGACACAGCAGAGCATCTCAATGCCAGGTGCTGGCTTGGAAGCATGGGCAACCCCTGAGAGCAGAAGGGCACATGTACAGCATCTGCTTATGCTCATGTGGGTTTTCACCAGTGCCAGCACACTCTTCAGTCTCTGTGAAGAGTCTCCTCTGCCTACACAACTGTAAAGCTGTCCTCAAGCTCCTTGCCAGGCAAGGGGTAAAGGGAGGTGTCTCCAGGAATATAGAGGGAACAATGACTGTTTTCAGCAAGTTCAGTACAGCTGCAGAGTTTCAGGCAAAGGAAAGTTGCTGGACTCAGGCCCAAGGGACAAGGCTGCCAAGCTGAGTCTTTGCAGCTGCTTCCGTCCACTCCAGGGAGATGTGGTTCTGAGCCGAGGTCCGGAAGAGCAGAGCAGCTAGGCAGGCAGAAAAGACTCCCCGGAGTCCCTGAGAGCTGAGCTCAGACCCCAGCCCAGCTGTGTGTGTGCAGCTTGATCATGCAGGATGATGCATGTAGACCCCATGAAGGCAGGAGGGGCTACCTGCCAGGCTCCTATGAATTGGAGAGTGAGGACCTCAGTTTGGCTGAGCCACTCCACCCTGCACGCCAGCTGTCGCTACCCCTGTCCCATGTCCCAGTCCTCCTGCAAAGCCCTCTGTGGGATGTACTACCATTGGCCCAGTCAGCTCCTCTCACAGCCCATTCAGATGGTGTGATCCCAGACATACACAAAGGCTCCAACCACGGCATGTCTTCCATGTGCCCTTGCCCTATGCTTATGAGTCCTGAGCTACATCACGTTGTACACTAAACCATTGTATCAGGGCATGCACTTCCATTTTCCCTCTCTTACCCTTCCCTGTTGCCACCTGCTGTTTCCCTCTGTGTTCCCTCCAGGTCACCCGAGGGAGTTTCTGAGACCTCACAGGAGTCACAAATGCCCTTTGCTGCTTCTACTAGTCTTGTCCAAACCTCATTTTTCTGACTCATGCATTACTGGAGTGAGAATCCGTTCTACTCTGCCCACCTCCTGTGTCCCTGCGCTTGGCACAGAGCCTGGCAGATGATAACATCCTGGTGGATTCGGTTTCCTCTGCCGTGAAGTGGCTCAGTAATAAGTTCTGTGGCTTCCATGCCTGTGGAAGATGGAATACATGAACACTGAGAGTTCAGTGCCTGGCTCCTCATTTATGGCCATTGGAGATACCCATTTGTTTACCTGATGCTTGTAAACTACAATCCCCTAAGTGCACAGCCCCATCCCAGGCCTCAGTAGTGTAGGGTCATGTGAGTGGCAAGGACAATGAGAAGTGTAGAAGCTGAGGGAAAGGAAAGGCCATGAGGAGGGCCTTGGTGGGCTCTGTGGCCCACGTTGAGACCTTCTGGACACTTCAGGGCCCTTTCCAGCTGCAGGATCCCATGACTTGATGACTCCTCCAGCGATGGGCTTTTAGTACAAATTCAGGGAGTCACAGGTTCCTTTCCTTGCACCATAACCAACTCCACAAACATTCAGGAGCCATCTAGACAAGGACAGGGAGCACTCTCAGTCCAAGAGCCCATGTTGGGGTGTCCACGTACAAGTTCTTCAGCCCTGGCCTAGGCAGAAGCACACTGGAGCATCAGAAGGGAGGGAGCCATGGGCATTGTCAGGCCTGTGGCAGCTGCTGCAGTCCTGCAACATTTGATATGCCCACATAATAGCGGAATCTTCTAGATGCCCTTTCCTCTCAGCTGGGTGTAAATGAACCATTACACGGGGAAGAGCCCCTCTCAAAAGTGTCGAACATCTTACCCACACATGGCCTGGCCTTTCAGGCAGGCATTTGGTTCCCCTCCCTACAGAGAACTTCTGGAAGACTCCCCCCTTGCCTCCTGCAGCTGCCTGAATCTGAGAGCCCAGACACCAGGGCAGCCGGCTGTGGGAGGGTTTATACAAGCCTGTCCACTTGTACTTTTAGACTTTAATCTTAGTTGTGAGGTTAAGTTTATGGTTCTACTGGAACTTCTCATGCTCTGTTGCCACATGCTTAAAAGATTTCTGTAGGATTAGGAGCAGAAATAATCTTAAAACATTAAACTGAAATCTCCAAATTTGTAACATACAGTAGCACCCTGCCATAGTGCATGTGGGATCAAACAAGACAAAATAAGCAACAGCAACAAAACCCTCTCCACTGCATGTGGAAGGACTTGGGCTGCCCTTCACTGAAGGCCCTGGGCCTCCAGTTCTTGGGAGAGTCTGGGCTGCCAGGTCCTGGCTGACTCTGGCATCCCCGGGTGGTAGACATCTCTACTCCAGTTTGTAGTTTCCCAGCCCTGACTCCTGGTCTGTCTGCACTGATTTCACTGACAAGGCTGGGGCACTTGGGTGGGAGAATATTGGGGGCACAGGGATCCGCCCCAGGTCCAGATTCCCAGGTCACCTCTCTGGGGGCGGGCTCTGCCATTCCCCTGACTGGCCGCTTCCTTCTCTGTGTTCTTCCCCAGAAAATGGGAGCTTGGGGGTACCCAAGCTGCACAGGGAGGTCAGCTGCTAAACATGGCCATGTAACATTGGAGCTGCGTATGTAAGCAGTTCTGTTATCCAAGCCAACTTTTTTTTGTTTTTTCCTTTTTAAACTGTGAGGTGCTAAAGTATCACAGTGTTCTGTGATGTTCTGCTCTAATTAAAGTGTGAATCTGTCCTGTAATCGCTCTACTGTGGCTGAAAGGTCAGGAGGTCCACAGCATCAGTGTCTATGGGCTAGAGTCTATGTGGGAGCAAAACCCTACCAAAGTCCAGGCGCTCTTTTCTTTGTTTGGTGGATGAACATCCTCACGTGCTCATGGGAATGTGGATGGGGACATGGCTGCCATGGGTTGAACCCGATCTGAAAGTCATGGGGGCTCAGAAGCACCATTGCTATGAGTGAGGACACCCGGCCTCCTGTCTGCCAGGCCTCCTGCCACCTGATTGCCATACCAGCACCTTCTGTATCAAGGCCAGACTCCTGCTGGGCCTACTGTCTGAGGTTCTCTGTGATGTGGGTCAATGGCGGTCCCATGGCTCTGCTTCTTCTTCTGTCCTGGGGGGGTCCCCTAGTCCCTCAGAACACATGTCCTTTTCCTTCCAGCAGTTTCCAGTAGTGCCCTGAGCTTAGTGCTTTTTGTCGTTGTTTTGTACATTTGTTCGTTTTGAAGCAAGGCCTCACTGTGTTGCCCAGGCTGGCCTTGAACTCAAGATCTTCCTGCCTTGACCTCCTGAGTGCTGGATTACAGGCGTGTGCCACCACACACAGCTTGGCGTTTCTTTTTAACAATGGTTTCTGTGGATGTGGACCTGATAAACTGAGTAGGTCAGTTTTCTTGAGTGGGGTTTCTGCCTTAGTTTCTTTTCATTAGCACTATTCTGTTGTGGACTTGTGCTCAGGAAGCACTCAGTATTGATTGATACAGGTCACATTCAGCTCACAAAAGTGCAGAAGTTGGCCTTCAGTGAGGCAGATTCCTGACAAATGGTGGCCACACACATCCAATAGGTAGTTCTGCCGCCTGGCCGTCAGGTGTGAGAGTTGACTCTGCCTGTGTTAGTGGGCTTTTCCCGTGTTCTTTCTAAATAGCCAGTGCATTTTCTAACAGTATTTGGCAGAGTGAAAACCACCATTTGAAGCCCACAGCTGCTGGGCTTCAACACTCATTTTTGTGTTACAATATCTGATAGTACAACTTCAGGAGGAAGGAAGTATTTGGCTCATGGTTTCAGAGAGTTCTGTCCGTGGTTGCTGGGCTCTGTGCACTTGGGCACAACATATAGTGGCAGAAGTGTGTGGCAGAGGGAGGCGCTCACTCACCTCATGGCTGATAGGAAGCACAGAGAAGACAGGAAAATAACCTCTTCAAAGACACACATCAGGACCTGCTTCCTTTAATCAGGCCCCATCTCCTGCAGTTCCACCACCGCCCAACAGTCTATCCAAATTTTGAATTCATCAGTGGGCAGAGCCCTCATGATCTGAAAGTCCTCTCTGGAGTTCTAGGTAGTCCAGACTGTCACCATGTAACCCAGGCTGGCCTTGAACTTGTGATCCTCCTGCTTTACTAATCTCCTTGACAATTCTCAATCCAATCAGGTTGACAATCAAGATGAATCATCACAGCTTATTTAGGATAACCCTCCTTATTGCCACTTGCCTTTTAATACCAGATCAGCATCAGGTCTGGCTGTGCTGGGTGACCTCAGATAAGGAACCCACATCCCTGGAGGTGCTTCCTCCTCTGGTCTCTGAATAAATATGTGCAGAGAACTTGGGTGGAGTTGAACTTGGTCTCTGAGCACTAGAGGGTGGCGATTCCTAACACTTGAGCCCCCAGCTCCTGTCTTACCTGTTGTTTCACAGACATGACTCTGGACCCAAAGAACAGTTTGCACTCTAGGAGAGGCAGAGTACCCTTTCCTTCTAACGTTGATAGAAATGACCTTCAGCCAAATGAAAGCTTTAGCTTTGTAAGCGTGCCTACTAAATTCATTGAGAAAAAATGTTTTTCAAATATTTATAAATAATACATAAAGTCTCATTCTGGATCCTGAGCATACTTTTTTGGGCATTCGTCCAATGCTAATAAAGTGTGTAAGACACACTGAACATAAAAGTAATGAAAAGCACCTTCCCAAACCCTTTGGAAAGGCCTTTTATAAACCAGGAAAATGATTTCTTTTGTTCTGTCTGAGGCATGGTCTTTCTAGGTAGCCCAGGCTGTCTTAGATCTTGCAGTGTGACCCAGGCTGACCTTGAACTTGTGATCCCTGCACCTTAAGTCTCCTTTTTTTTTTTTTTCATTTTTCTTTTATTATTCATATGTGCATACAAGGCTTGGTTCATTTCTCCCCCCTGCCCCCACCCCCTCCCTTACCACCCGCTCCGCCCCCTCCCGCTCCCCCCCCTCAATACCCAGCAGAAACTATTTTGCCCTTATCTCTAATTTTGTTGTAGAGAGAGTATAAGCAATAATAGGAAGGAACTAGGGGTTTTGCTGGTTGAGATAAGGATAGCTATACAGGGCATTGACTCACATTGATTTCCTGTGCGTGTGTGGTACCTTCTAGGTTAATTCTTTTTGAACTACAGACATGTATCACCATGCCCACCCTTGTTTTATTTTCTTGACATTTTTGACCCAGGGGTACACACATGTATGTGTCTGTGTGCTAGCACACTTATATGAACATTGTCAGTCAGGAGTCCTTGTCATATTCCTTTTTCAGCTGCTGGTCAGTATTTTACTTGCTGTTTAATCACTTTCTAGTCCACAAGGAGGAAGGGCCATGAGCTAACATTCTGGAGCCACTGGAGTCAAAGCCACCCTGTGAAGCCTATTTCTCATGCCCTGGTATTTCTAGAAAGGTACATTCATACATATGACAACTGAAAACATTCAATTTCCTGTACTTGAGGAGCTTCCCTCCTTAATGAAATGGGAGTGATTCCTCCTGTAATCCATCACTGAAGCTTATATATGTCTCTCTGATCTGTCAGAGAGACACCAGTAACATTTCAGACACAGTCAGATTCAAGAGTTCAGCGTCCTTTGAACGAGCCTTCCAGCCAGACAGAATCTGCCATTGCTGCACTGAGCGGAAGTGTGAGGACCACTGGTGCGCCTTTGGCCTGCGGGTGGGAATCTTATCCCAGCAGCTTCCATCACTTGCTATGGTTTTTGCCCTTATAGCATTTGCTGTACTAAAAATAGATGTATGTCCTTTTTTTTTTTAGGGCTAGTTCATCTTTTGGGTGTTTAGTGTAATTGTTACAAGATTTCACCATGGTGTTTCTACACGTGCTTGTATCCTCTTTCTTTCCTGTACCCCTTCCTCCCTACCTTTTGTATTTCTAGACCAGGAAAATGATTGTGCTGCTTCATACATGAACATAATGTACTTAAGTATCATTCACTCCCCATCATTTTCTAAGTCCTTTTGCACATGATTTCCCTTCAGGTACGTGAAGGTCTCCATCATGTCTCTGTCTCTGTCTCCTCTAGCCCTCCCAAACCCACTGGCTTAGTGAGTTCACGCTCTCAAGGTGACATCCAGCTTCCCACATCAACCCTAGACATTGGAGCTGGTTCTTGGCACAGTGACCTGGGGGCTTTGGATGTGCCTCTGCTGCCTTCACCCTTCTTTAGGTGAATTTGCACCTGAAACTTGGCTAAAGATGCAGCTTTCCCAGGAGGCTGACATGGGAAGGGGACCCAGCAGGGCTCCACCCACGCCTCATCTCTCCTGGGGGCTGAGGTCTGGCATTGTCTTCTTGCAGGCTACCTGAATGTGCTCTCCAATAGCCGCTGGCGGGAACGCTGGTGCCGCGTGAAAGATAGCAAGCTCATTTTGCACAAGGACAGGACTGACCTGAAGACTCACATTGTCTCTATCCCACTCCGCGGCTGCGAGGTGATCCCGGGCTTGGACTCCAAGCATCCACTGACCTTCCGGCTGCTTCGCAATGGGCAGGAGGTTGCTGTGCTGGAGGTATGTTTTCCAAAGACCTTCTCCACAGATGTGGTGCACACCTTCCAGAAGCTGCGTTCTGCTTGGATTTGTCCCCTTTCTGTTACTTCTCACTCCATTGCTCTCTGCTTTTCTTCTCTCAGCTCCTCTTTCCTAGAGAGCCAGACGGTGCAGGCAACCCAGTACCAGTGTTTGCCAAGTCCCACACTTTGGTTTGTTCGCCAGCATCCTCCCTGTTTATTTCCTCTTGGTGTGTGTTTGTATGGAAATTAAACACACAATTCCATAGCATGGGTTACTCTTTCAAAGTGCCCAGGAAGCAGCTTGTTGAAAATTTTCCAATCAAACTTTATTCTTCTAACCGTGGGCTGCTTTGAAATGATGGTAAATTTTTCTTTACTTTGTCCTCTGGAAGGCTCTCAACTTCTTTCCTGATGAAACAGGCATTTTAGGGCCACCCAACACCCTTTAGCCAGACTACAAGATATCCTTTCGGCTTGCAAACATAGTAACTACCTACTTGAAACTCTCACTTTTGAAGTTTTTAATTTTATCTTTCATCTCATATATGAACTTACTTTCTGTCCAGTATCAATTCAGATTTCTTTTTCCTGTTTCTCTCCACTTAGCATTATTACACTCAGGACACAGAGACACCCCGTGTATTCCTAGGTGTCCAGAGTGCATGGTCATGTATTTATGCATATGGTCAGCATGCTGAGGCAACAGTGGATTCTGAGTTGGTCAGATGCAGAGAGAAACCCTAAAGGGCTCTGTAGTGATGTGGGCTGGCCCAATAACAGTCTATAAGATCTTGAGTTTCACAAGGTGGAGTTTGTTTCAGGGTGTTTTCACTGAAACTACTTTTTTTAGGGATGGGACAAAAACAGATTGCAGGATGTTCTTCCCACAGGGCTCGGCCCACTGGTCCAGTAGTCTGAAGCAGGAGGCTGGGGAAGAACTGCACTCCCTGGTGGCTGCTCTTGGGTAGGATCTGCGAGAAGCTTGTCTGGATGCGATGGTGCAGGTCTCCAGGAGAGCCACAGCAGCAGGTCCCAGAGATTTCAAAGGAAACCAGACACAGGTTGACACACGTTTCACTCAGAGTGAAAATGGCTGGGTATCCAGACAGAGGTGCCAGGACAGGGCAGGTGGGCAGAGCCACCTTGCAGGGAGGCTGTCGTGCAGGCTGAGAGTCCTTGAAGGATGGAGATGTGTTCTGTACCTTCTAGAACATTCTCAGCCCTGGCAGCATGCGTATTTCTTGAGAGCTATCCCGTTTCTGAATGTCACAAGAGTTTGACGTTTGACCAGTGTCACTCCACATAGACAGCTGATTTAAAACTGACTCTGGAATCCACAACATTCCAAGAGAAGCAAAAGTCTCTGCCTCAGTCAGCAACAGAATGCAGGGAGCCTAAGGTAAGGCTATAGCCTGGCTTCTTCCTGCTCATTTTAACTTTTAATGTGGGATAATTTTGGAATTACTAAAGTGTTGCAGAAATAGTACAAAGAGTGCCCATGTGCCCTTCACCCATGGTCACCAAACGCTGACGTTTCTTCATGTTTAGCATCTCTTGACACATCCCAGTCCCACATGTATGTAGAAAGTTTTCCAGAAACTTCTGCAGATATTCTTCCCTTCATTCCTAAATACCTCAGTGTGTGTTTGCTACAAGAAAGGGCATTGCTTTACCAGAACCACATACAGTTATACAAGCCAGGGAGCTACTCTTATGGAATGCCTTAACATGTTCTCCTGGGGTTTCCAACACCATCCTCTACCAGCAGAAGGAAGTCTGGGATTGTCTGCCTTTGGCTGCCAAGTCTCTTCAGCCTCTCCTCTTGTGTCAGCCCTGGTTCGTGACACAGATGCTCCCAAGGGTACAAACCAAGGTGGCCTGTCTATCCCTGTGTTGGAATCATGGGTTTCTCAGCAGGAGCCCTGTGGAAATGGTGGAATTTCATCATGTGCCCTGTCAGGAGGTGAGGTCCCAGTGGGTCTCCAGAGTAGCGGTGTTAATGTGGGACCTTGGAGTTTCCCTGCTATGAGATACTTTGTTTCCCTTTGTTGTTAATAAGTGTCATGTGGGCAGATACTTGAGACCATGTAACTATCCTGTAATTCTTGGAGTTTCACTTACTAATCTTAGCATTCATTAATGATTTGTCTGAAATAAATCATTGTAATGACAGTTGCTAACTGGTGAGTTTCTCATTCCATTATTAGCATCAACTGTGAGAAAGATTTCCCGTGCTCCTCCTTGTTAATAATCATCTGTTCTTTATGTGTGTTTGTGAACCAGTGGGCACTCACAGGTTGTCCCTTCAATCAGCAATTACCACCTTTCATTGCCATGGTTTGCCCTCCATCCTTTGCTGTGCTGTGATGGAGACTGTGATCCTGTCTTCTTTGAATGTTTCTGGTGTGTCGTGGTACAATGCGGTGCTCCAGGGCCACTTGGTCCTTCTCCCTGCCTCAGGCCTATTCTCAACCCTTTCTCCAGGTCTTGGCAGTGCCTTAGTGTAGAGTGGGGTCTAGAGTCTGGGGCTTACTGGGCTCACTGCTACAGGCTGTCACTGCTTCTAGGCCTTTGTAGTAGACACCTCAGGAAATAGGTTTGTGTGTTGTGTCATAACACATACCTGTTCATGCATGTTTATGTATCATACGTAGGATACATACTTACAAGTCAACATATACACAAATGTGTACACATCCCACACATCTGTATCTGTTTCCATATCTGTCTAAGTGAAAGCCGTGAGAACACAGCCAACCCCTCCAAGTCCAGCCCGATACCACAGGGTTGTTCGTGAATAGCCTGGGAGGAAGTCCCATAAGATGAACTATGAAGGCAACCAGAAAACTCTGGTGCAGCAGCAGCAGTCACATCTTAGCTGTCAGTCATGTGGAATACTTGACGGAGTTAGAGACACACAGAGGGCTCCCGGACACACTTTGCTGTTGGACTCTGTGGTGCTGTGGTGGAACCCAGGGCCTCCTGCACACCGGGTGAGCTCTACCACCGAGCTGCACCTGCAGCTCAATCTGCATTGTACTGGGGTTTGAATTTAGGCCTCTTGCTTTTTAGACAGGTGCTCTACCACTTCAGCCACTCTGGCTGCCACACTACATTCTTGGTACAGATTTTGCTTTGGGAAGGACAAGACCTGTGAGGAGAATTCATTTCTGCTTTTCTTGCACGCAAGCATTCGCATCCATTCATTTTAATTTGTAACACCAAACACGTTCTTACTCTCCACAGGCACATGGTCACATCCTTGCCTTTGTGCTGAGGGCTCCATAGGTGCTGGCAAGGTAAAAATGGGTAGGTGGGAAGTTTTGGTCACCAGCCAGCACTGCCTGCAGACAAGAGCCAGCCTCTTCCTGGTTAATGGCTTTGTGTGTGGCATAGAACAGATGCTAAAACTCAGTTCTCTTTAAGTTCAACTTATAGGTCATTATTTTAAAAATTAGTCATTTTTTATTAAAAAAAATAGAGGTTGATTTTTTTCTTCAACATCCACTTAACTCAAATTAGATAGCTTAATTCCCCCTGAACTATAAATTTTACTGATGTGTTTGATTAGTCAAATGTATTTAAACCTTTCAGGTATCATTAAGGAAGATAGTATAGCTGGTTTTCTAAATCACTTAAGTAGGATGGCTTAAAAATTTTAATGAGTATAATCTTAAAGACATTTCAGACTTGCAGATCAGATGGAAGGGGTGTTGCAAACATCTTAAAACTGGCACATGGAAGACAGCCTGGTAATGACAAGACGGGCTCACGCCTGCAGACATGTGGTTGATGTAAGAGATGGTTTTTATAACATTGGGTCAAGAGGAACAAGACTACCACTGCAGGCCACGTGGTCCTCAGTCATGGCTCCTGGTGAGAGCCGCTTGGGGGCAGCGGGCAGAGAGCCTGGCACACTTTCCCATTACGCCTGCTGCAGACCAGGGCCCCACCCTCAGCCAGATTTGGTCACCACATGACAGGCTTTCTAAACAACTCCCCTTGGCTGGGATTTAATCACTGCCAGGAACTTCCATGTCTTATCCCTGGTGCCTCCCCACAGTAAGGGAAGGCCTTTGGTAGCTCAGGTTTGTCTCCTTCGGAGCAATCGTTCTGTCACCTCCTGCTCCAAGGCTAGTGTGAACGCCATACTAATCCTGACTCTCAGGTGGTGACCATGACTCCTTTCCCGGTCGTTATTATGGCTTCATGTTTCATCACTCTTCCTATCATATGCTCTCTTTGTTGACCCTTTTTAAAAAAAAAAAATCAAGCATTGTTGTCTGTAATTGAATAAAACATGTTTCTTTCCCCTCGGCAGGCATCTTCTTCTGAAGACATGGGCAGGTGGATTGGGATCTTACTGTCTGAGACAGGGTCGTCAACGGATCCAGGAGCCCTGCACTATGACTACATAGACGTGGAGATGTCCGCAAATGTCATCCAGACGGCCAAGCAGACCTTCTGGTAAGACCCATGGCATGGGTGGTAGCATCGAAGTTCAATTGCTTTATCTTCCCCGTTGACATTCTAGCTTGGTTTCTGTGAGGACACAGATGAAAAGCACACCTAAAGACTTTGCCTTTGGCATTGTGCCAACCCCGACTTAGCTGACATGTCTTTATCCTTCAGACCTCTGGGATTTCTGCTAGAGCAGGGGTTAGCAAATGGGTATAGAGGTCCAGAGAGCAATCACTGGCTTTGTGGGCCAGGCAGCCCTGTCCATAGCCATTGTGCTCCACTGCTGCAGTCAGAAACAATACGTAAGTAATCGGGTATGGCTGTGTACAATAAAACTGTATTTGCAAAAGTAGGCAGTGGGCGTCTGGGGCATAATTTAAGTGGTAGAGTGCCCACAAGCACAAAAGGCCCTGAGTTCAAACTCCAGTACTGCTGAAAAAAAAGAAGGCAGTGGGCCAGATTTGCCTGTGGGCAGCAGCTTGCTGACCGTCGTATGGGAGGAACAACTCTGTGAAGTAAAAATGATTCTGTATATTGTTGTAATGAGGACCAAGATTTTATCGGTTCAGTACTTTACTTTAAATGTAACTGTGATTTAAAAGAAATGCTGTTCTTCAGAATAGTCCTGCACCTCAGCATGATGGTAGTCACTATGCAGCGCCCTCAGGGTGTGTGTCCTTACTGGACCTCACAGCAGGAAAGAAAGTGCTAGCTTCACTGAGGATGTCCTCAGTGGCACAGGAGAAGGGTGACTTTTTCTCTGAAGGGCCAGCTCTTGAGTGAGTAAGTAAAGCAAGAGGATCTTGAGTTCAACGCCAGCCTGTGCCACATAGCAAGACTGTGTCTCACAAAAAACAAAACACAACAGAAAAAGGGGAAAAAAGCACACCTTGATCTAGCTATCCCACACCCATGGTGATAATGGAGAGCCTAGAGATCTTGCGTTGCTCCTTAATGGTGCTGAAAAATGAGCATTTACTCAGTGCTACGTTAGGACTGCCCAAGGCTAGGAGCCAGCTTCTCAAAAATGAAGCTGACTTTGGCGTGAGTTAGTGTAAGCCCTGGGCACCCCACAATGCCCAGCAGGGCCAGAGGCCACAAAAGCACTGCTTGTTCTAATCATCATCCTGTGCTGTGGAAACCAGGGTGGATGTACCTACTGCTCTGTTATTGTCATTAATCAGCAAAACGTGGGGGAGTCACAGTGGATCTCCCATCAGTGCGTCCATGCATGAGGACAAACAGAACTACATTTAAGAGAAACCCCGAATAAGTATTTCTTCTAGAACGCAGCTTGACGTTTACTTTATAAATGAATAGAATATTAATTTAAACCAAATGTGGGAACACACTTTTTTTAATGCAAACCAAATTATAAAAAAGTTCATTTAAAAGATGTAGGTAAGAAACTTTCTACCTCATTAAAATCTTTTTAGGAAATGTCAGTTAGCCATAAAGTTTATTTTAGTTTTCTAACTAAACATTCCCATAAAACTTAACAGAGAAGAGATTTAATAAGCAAACAGCATTCAAAATATTGGAGTTTGCTAGTGTGGTAAGTATCATAGGATTAAATTAAAGTTTTTTGCTTTTTATAACCTGGCAGCCAGGTAATGAGTCTTCTCAAGGACGATAGGGGGGTTACCAGAGATTATGTCTGATGGAGAGAGGACAGGAGAACAACAGCAGTCAACGTTGTGTGGATTCTTCCAGGAGCAGTGCTGTGTTTAGCACTGCCAATGATGGCAAACAGTTGAACACGCCCCATGAACCTGTTTCTAACTAAATCTCATGGATTGAATAGCAGAAGGAAAACACTGTGGCGTTTCCTCTTGGGCCTTACCAGGTCACACCCGCTGCAGACCCAGCAGGGACATGGTTTGTATGACCGAGGGGAGGGATGCAGCAGGAAGCAGGGTCCTCTGAGTCTCCCCCTCCATCTGGGTCCCTGCAGAGTACTTTAAGTACTTCCTGTGATGCTCTGGTGCTTCCAGCTTGACTTCGTTTCCAAGTTCATGTTTGGCCGATGCTCATACCACGGAAAGAGTGCTGCACTGATGCCAAGAGGCTCCTGTGGGCCAGGGGTTGTCCTTTGCACTGGCCTGGGTCCCTATCTGATACTTTTGGGGGCAGACTGGCCAGTGCAGAAGGTCTCTGGGCACCCTGGACATTCTGTGTGCCAATGATCTCTTCAGTCTTGCTCCCCTAGTCCTGCCAGGGGACAACCGGAGCCATCTGAGGGTGTCTCTATTTCCAGAAGCAGAAGTGCAACACTGGGGCTTCTGTTCTGACCATCGACTGCCCCTGCTTCATCATAACCTCTGTGCCTTAGTGTAAGTACTGCCAGAAACTGAGGCTGCAAACCAAGTATGAGATGGCCTCACAGCAAGGCGGAGGAAGACAAAGGCATGCCACAGAGTTGGGCTTCCTGTCATTGCACTGTTTACTGAGTCTCACTCACAGAGGGTGAGCCTTACCCCAAATGGTCAAATGAGACGTTTACTTTAGAGAACCAACTTTATGTCATTGCAGATCTCCTACATATCTGGGTTTGGCAGTGTCTTTCCTCTGGTATCTTTTCCTATGCGTTTTATTTTACTGCATTTACTTTTATGTATTTTAAGTATAAAGCAATTGTATCTAGCTTTTTATAAGCAAAGGAAGCAGTCTTCTAAATTCAAGTACATAGAAGAGTGTGTATGCTGCCTTCCTCCAGCAGAGGGCAGCAACGCACCTTGCGAGGCAGAAGCTGCAGATGAACATCAGGCTATGCTGGAGGCTGCTTTCCCCTGCCCGCTCCTCACTCAGAACTTGTGGGTAGCCAGGTAGAGAGGCAGTTTTCACTTTACCCTGTATCTCCCTCACTTTTTTGCTTATTTTCTTCTTTATTCATCTAGTGTCCATAGAAATGTAAGATCCTAGGAAGAAATAAAACTGGGATGAGGGGAAATGATCCTTAAAAAAAAAGACCTCCAGGCTCTGTCAGTGTCTCCAGTTAGGAGCAGATGCGATGATCTGGCTCTTTCCTCCTTGGCTCCTGGGCTCCCCTGGAGCTGGAGCAAGCACAGCTTTCAAGAGGCAGCTCGGCATCCTCATTCTGCAGGTCCCCACAAGCACCAGGCATGTGCAGATGTTGCCCTGTTGCCTGGAGGTGGAGTGGGGCCAAACCCACACTGGCTGCACTCTCCTCTAGCATGGAGAAATAGATGAGGAACAAGAAAATACGTAATAGGCCTGACCTGGCATTCTGGTTGGGGGCAGAGGGGCAGGAGGTACCTTGTCCTCTCCGTGCATCCCCAGTTCTCCATCTCCACTTCTGGCCACCAACTGTGGGTTCCTCCCACACCAGGCAGAGATCAGTTCTCCGTGGACTCCAGCTGGGGTTCTGTAACACAGCTTGATTCTGATGCTGCTCACTAGGACACCGAGTCACACCCTACAGGTCGAGGGCTCCATCTCTAAAACAACGCACACTTCATCCACGAATGCAGGTTGTCCCCTGTGCTTGTGATAGGCCACTGTTAGTCTAAGGTTTCCATGACCCCACTTCGGTTTCAGTCGTTTATTAGAACCTAGGAAAGCTCACCTGCTGGGTCACTGGCCTGCTAGGAAAGGACCGATTCAGAGCTACAGTATGGATGTGCAGATGGTGATCTACAGGATGGCGTGGAACTGCTGTGCCTTCCTGGGGGCATCGCCCCCAGTACCTCAGCCAGATGCACTCCACCCTGTCCTTATGGGGTTTATGGGGCTGGAAGTTAGAGCCTCTGATCACATGGCCTTGGCCCCAGTCCCCAGTCTTCATGTTTCCCAGCAGCCTTGGGTATAATGAAGTGTTCATTATGACGACAAAGGTAGTCTTGTCACGTTCTCTTATCTCTTAGGGCATTTCAAGGTTTGGCTTTGGGCAGGAATGGGGAAGAAGGCCCAAACATGTGTTTTGACATATCACAGTCACACTCCTGCAGGGTGGCGTGGCACTGTTGGGCTCTCAGCAGGTCAGGGACCAGGTAAAAGTGCTGGGCTGGGCTGTGATGCTGCCTGAGGCCCAGAACTCAGTTAACACTGTTGAACAAATCTCAAAAGATAGAACTTTCTAAGTGGCTTTGCAGGCCTCTGCCTGTGGGAGTTAATGTGAGCAGATCCCTGTGGCTGCATCCAGTATAGCTGTGTTTATAGTTCCAACTGTGAGCAGGGTGGCCCTGTTACAGACTGATGACAATGGACATAGTTGTTACTATGCAGGTGCTACCTGGCATTCCCACATTCCCACATACCATGTCACCAGTCTTAGCAGCTCTGCAAGGTGGGCCTATCTTCCCAGTGGGAAAGGAGTCTGCCTCTGTCCCTCTAAGCAGCACCCATGTCTGCCTGGGCCCATGTGGGCTTCCTCTGCCCCTGAGCCTCTGACATAGCCTTGAGCTAAAGTCTGAGCTCACCAAAGAATCGGACTCACTGAAGAATCGAAGGAAGAGCCATCAGGCGCATCCTGACTGTCTCCTCTCTCTCAGCTTCATGAACAGGCGCTCAGTGTCCACCAGCCCGTACCTAGGGAGCACCTCCAACGGCTATGCCCACCCCAGCGGGACTGCACTGCACTATGATGACGTCCCTTGCATCAATGGCTCGGTGAGTGTGCCCTTCCAGATCAGAAGGCAAGGTTGTCAAAATTCTGTCCTGAGTGCCCTGGTTTCCATCCAGATGGGGATCATACTATCCGCTCTCTCCTCACTGACTTTGCTCATTTGACGCCTGTAGACAGTTTGTCCTTTTATGTCATTAACCATACATTTGAGCACACTTTGAGATACTGACTGAATAAATCAGACACAGCACAGCCTAAGTTATTTCCTGATTTGCTGAATGGCTATCAGCTAGGGGTGACACTGTCATTGAGCAGCGACACTATTGCAGACGGCTGCCTCCCATGGCAGACATGGAGTGATTGGGCCCGACCCCAGCTCAGAGCTGTCGGCGTGACTGGGCATGAATGGTGGGGACACTGTGCAGCAGTGTTAATCAAGCTAGTCTCCAGCATCTGTCTGGCCTTGATTTGTTCTAGCATTTTATGGTTAGTCTAATTAGCAGAAGTCATCAGTAAGCATGTGCTTTGCTGGGTCTTTGTCTTAATAACAGCAGGAGACCGAGTATCCTCTCTGCCCAGGCACCAAGCCCAGCTCCTGAGCCTTCAAAGGCAAAGCCTGCAGAGTTACACTTGTGGACAGAGCAAGCCGAAACCTTTGTGCATTTGACCCCCATACTAGGTGGATATACAGTTGGCATCTAAGCTAAGCTACTTTTCAAAGGCAGGTATAGAGTTTTAACCTTACCAGGTATTTTAGACTCTGTTCTTACTGCTCTGCTTCTCCATTCTTTCTCCCAACATTCTGCTGGATGCCACCAGTCACGTCCTGTCATTATGAAATACACAGCTGCCATGGCAGGAGCAGGAGCTGTGTCACTAGGGAGGGGAGGACCCACAGCTTGAGTCATGGACTGAAAGTAAGGCACGAGTCCAGATTGAGGCCTGTAGTCAGCACAGAGATCTGGTGGGCCATGTGCCTGGGTCCTCCTGGCTGTCCCCAAACAGCCCTTCTACCATCAGACACTCCGCATGCCCACTGGGCCTGCCCTGGGTTCCACAGGTGGAGTCTGCACATGGGTCTCACTTGACTCCACATGGCAGCTTTGTGCTTACTGTGTACACCTCTGCCTTGCCTTGCCTCCTTACTACCTTGCTTTTTTCCTCTCTTCCGGCCCTATTTTCTAAGTGTTTCCTAGTGAGCAGGCTAAGTTCTAGGAGTTGAGAAAGAAGAGAATCAGATGTCGTCTTTGTCTTCCAAGACCTTTAGTCTAGTGGGGTAAGCAGACCTGGGGGTGGAAGGGGTGATGGAGGCTGGTGGTGGGCCTAGCCTCCCTTGGGTGAGGTCTTGAGGTGTGAGCAGAGCCACAGGACTCCCCTAGCTGTACAGCCCACACAGTAGAGCCCCACCCTACTGGGTTCCTCCAGGCTCTTTTTTTGCCCTGTCCCCTGTCTTGGTCTCTGACATTGAAAGAGCTCCTAGTGCCCTTTGCCCTAGCCCTGTGGACAGACCTGCTCCTGCTTCAGGATACAAGTGACAAGCACAGAAGGGCAGGGCTCTTAGTGCAGCCCCCATGCTGCACTCAGGCTGGGCTCCTGTGCCTGTGTAGATTGCAGCATCTCTCAGCAGTATTGGTCTGGGCCTCAGCATCCAGACACATCTTGAGGGTGACTCCATTCCTTTGAGCCTTTGGTCTTAGCAGCCTTCTGCTCTTGGGGGTAATAGAACACATGCTGTACCTTCAGACATTCCTAGCAAGGCCTTCTGCATACCCTGTGCTCAGAAGTGCTCCCCCACACACTCATCATAGTCACACGATTCTTACCTGCTCCCATCTACCTGGTGAATACACTTGTTACCTGCTTGGAAACAAGAATCTGTCCTTAAAGGGCCTGGTGCTCAATAACTGTCCCTGTATGCTCACTGCTATGCTGCGTTAGGGGCTTTTGAGATGTGTGGATCTGCGGGCCTGTTTGCTACTAAGGCTGTCCTCTGCCAGGCCCCTCAATGACATATACTGGCCTCTATTATGGGGCCATCTCCTTTTGGGAGGGTTGCATTTGTAGGTCTCATAAAGTTCCTACTTGGTGACCCAATACTTGATGTGTTAGCAGTGTTGCACCCTCAGAAGGTCGTCATTCATTGTGCTCTGATGCTTCGGCCAGGCTGGAGTCTGCTTGCATTCACATTTAATCTAGAAATTTCTATAGAGTTTCTGTCACTGTTTCCTAAGTTTTCTGTGTGACTCAACCCTTGGTATTTTAGGAAAATGTTTGTCCAGTCTGGACCACTTTGTAACACTGGATGAATATATACTAGGTTATCATTATGAAGTGTTCAAATCCGAGTTTATCTGCATTAATTTTAGATTGTACGTAAGTCCCTGCTTCACAAAAATAGACACACTGAAGTAACTGCAAAGGAATAAAAACACTCTCACTATGGAATTTTCAACTTTTCCTATTTTTATAACAAAAGGCTGTAATTATAGTCTGGCAGAAAGGAACTCTGCAGAAGAATGTAAAAACTGAGTAAAATGAGTAGAATATATGAATTAATACTGCCTTTTTTAATGCAAGGCAATTTATGAGGACCTTTCAAACTTAAAAGGACCTGGCAGTGGGTAATAGTAATGGGTTTCATTTATACTTTAAAGGACAGTACGGGAATTCCTTTGTGCCATGAAGTGACTTGCAGCCACTCTAGTCCTCTGTTTGAGTTTTCCACAACAGTGCCATTGTCTCCACTGAGCGCGAAGCTTCTTGGTTTCATTCTTTATCAGGCTGTTTTGGTTATGGCTCTTTCTTCACACACTGAAGTGTGGTACATGGACCTGAAGCCATTGGCCCCGAGGGTGGGCAGGGAGAAACCCGGGGTGGTCTCAGCTTGAGCCCTTGTCCCCTTGGAGAGCCTGAGGCTCTGCAGAAGCCTAGCATGCAGCCATGGGTGTGGCTCTGCCCAGCTCTGTCTCTCAGTGGTGACCTGCCTCTGCCTCTGTCTCCAAGACTCCAGAGCTGACTCTGAGATCAGTGAGCCAGTGTGTGTGAGGCCCTCAGCCTTAGCACAGGCTGAGAAGGAAAAGACGCTTTATTGGGATCTCACTATCCTCCCCACAGAGCCCCTTCATCACTTCCTGTCACCTCCAAGTCCTGCCTCAGAGGACTTCCAAACTCCAGTTCTCAAAGCAGGAACTGTGAAACCAGTATTTCCTTTTCTGCTTTGAAAAGCAGAATAAACCCAAAACTTCATAATCCATTGGAAGGATTTGAGGAAAAAGTGAAGAGGTTCTTCTCAACCAGTCCCCTTATGTGTGTGGGTTGTGGGTATGTGCACACAGTGTGTGTGCATGCGTATGTGTGCAAGAGTATTTTATTGACAACAACTGGGTGGTCCCTGTACACAGTATGTTGGAGTGCTGCTAATATCTCGCTGTGCTTGAAATCTCTCTTTCCCATGTCGGGTCACTAACAACAAAGCTATGTGTGTTGCAGTGGGACCCAGAAGATGGCTTTCCTGGCTACGGGAGCCGAGGCCTGGGAGAAGAGGCGTTCTATGATAACGCCGGCCTCTACGATAACTTACCATCTCCGAAAATCTTTGCTCGCTCCTCTCCTGCTGACAGAAAGGCTTCTCGGCTGTCCTCTGACAGGCTGTCCTCTAACCACTACAAGTCCCCTGCTGCCTGCTCCCCATCTGTCACTAACACCTCTTCCGTGGGGAGGGCATCTCTCGGGCCGCACTCCCAGGTACACATCATGCATGTACTCCCAGCCTTCCCCTGAAGTCACCCTGACCAGCAGGCATCTGGGGGCGGTGTGCTCACCACTCAAGCACACCAAGGGCAAAGCTTAAGGTTTTCCCCAACTAGAATAGAGTTGGTGGTGTGGCTGCAAGGTATTCCTGACCAGTTCCGTGGACCTATGCCTCATGCTTCTTGGCTTACATCTAGCTCTCTTTCACTCTTGGAAAATTCCCCAGTGAATTTTGTAAGTGATGTCAACTACAGGCAAAAATATTGAAAAGAATGGGGCAACCAAACTTTTCAGAAGATTGTTCAACTGCAGCTTTTTACTGTGCTCCCTTACTTGCAAAGGAGCAGGGCTCCCCCACTGGGGAGATGGCTGAAACCATGGCCAGCCCCGCTGAGGGCTGGGTCTCCTGGGGCAAGGGTGAAGTGATCAGAAGGCTCTGGTGGCTGCTGATGAACAGCCCTGAGGTGGAACTGTTGCCCTTCCTCCCTCTGCATTTGCAGCACGCAACAGCATGTCAGAGCAAACTCTATGTGTTTTCATGAATTTTTAACCTAAGAATTTCTTTCACTTTGCCGGGAGGTCTGAGCTCCTCCCTGAGGAGTACCCAGCTTTTCTCTCCGTTCTGTGTGTCATCTTAAGAAAATAATGACCACCAGGTAAGGTCCTAGAATTTCAGGTAGAGCCACCTTAGAGAGGCTGGTGTCATCAGAACCACACAGGAAAGTCTTACGTGTTTATTTTTAACATCGATAGCAGTCACACAGAATTGGGTCCAGGAGCCCAAGGGGCCTGGTAGGTCCGCTGTGCAGCAGGGTGCCAGCACCACTGGGCTCTGCTATTTTCATTAGGACCCGTACCAAAAACCTGGTCAATTTATGTTTCATTTACTAAATGAACATGGATCTAGCAACATATTTATCTGTCTTTTTGCTGGCATTAACAGTCCCTTTGGTAAAAGCGTGACCAAACATGCCATCTCGTACATCTGGATTGTCCCCAGGCTGGTGGGAATTACTTGATTGACATGAGCTCCGCTACTGCCCTGTTTCCAGTGGGAAGCACGGTGTAAGTTCAACCATGGTGCACGGGTTCCCCATCCTCTTGTGATCCTGTCAGTGGAGCCTGTTCAGTGGTGAGGCCTTGCATTCACTGAACATGCATGCATGCCTCCCGTGTGGATGGCTGTAAGGTGTCACTTGCCCTTTTAGAGGCCCAGTGAGGTATGTCCATTTTTAAATGAACAAACAGAGGCTTGGAAAGTTTGAGTGGCTTGCTCATTGTCTCCTAAATGGCAGCCAAGTCTGAAACTTGGTCTCTCACCTCCCTGAGCCAGGCCCACAACAGAAGAAGTGAACGGTGGGAAAGCAAGGCCATGCAGGGCTTCGCTCCACCTCAAGCCAACCACCTCGCGCAGCCAAGGTGGCTGAGTCAAATACAGACTCTGTCGACTTACAGCAATTGAAGCAGGGGTACTATTTATTTTAAACCTATAGTTGGTTAGGATTTACTTTCTATGTTATTCATACTGTTCATATATTACACATTTCACATCCCTTTCTACCCATCAGTGAGCCAGCAGCTAGGTGTTTATCCCATTAGGATAGCACTCAGAAGCCCTGAAGCAGAGATCTGCCTGCAGGGCCTCCTCCTCCCCTAAGCACTCCACCAGATAAGAGCAGTTCATCTCTAGACACAGCTCATAGTTCTGTGATCGCAGCTGAATACCACAGATGGCCACTGTACTGCTGCTATAGAACTACATGGTACATGGCTCCCACAGCCCTGCTGCTGCAGACCTCCTGGGCCTCAGTGCCCTGAACTCGGTGCTAGAACTTTCAGCCACCCTAGGAGCAGTGCAGCACCTGCAAACCAAGTGTGTTTCCTTCACCCTCATCCTCCCCTTGGGCTGTGCTAGGTTCTACTTAAAGAAATTGCTGCCAGAAAAAAAAGAAGAGGTTCTGTTGGTTTGTTTTTAATTTCCTATGTTTGTTTCAACAGTTCAAGGGCAAAAAGCCCCCAGTGACATCTAATGGGGTTCCTGGAAAAGGGAAGGCTCCAAGCAGTCAGCAAAAAAAGGCAGACTCTGTGGCCGGCATGAAGCGGACAGCATCAAGTGAGTTTCCCTGACCCCTGGCATTCCGGTTCTGGTGCCATGTGCAGAGCTGTGGCTATTCAAGCCACTCCCACTGCAAATGCTAGGCTGGGGTCTAGGGCAGTTGCATCGTTTTCCTCCCTCCCACACTGGTGGTAGAACGTCGATGGATTCTAACTCATATCCTGGGACTGCTAACTGGAAAGTAGACACAGCATCAATGTGTCACAGCTGTCAATATGGCATTGACACTGTGTGTTTAATTAACTATGAGTGCTTGCAAGTACAGTCACAAGAGTCCTCTATTTTGGGTCAGAATACCTCAGTTGTGTCCCTGATATGCTGTGAGGTTGTATAAACTCTAAAGGCAGATGTTGCTGTGGTTGGCGTGGCTAGTGGGAAGGGCGGAGGTAGCTGTGTGCTCAAAGCTTAGAGAAACTCCAGGGCACAGGAGGAAACACAGGCCTTGGGGATCCAATCCAGGCAACAGCAAGCTGTTCTTTCCATCACCCTGTTGGTCTCCCAGAGTCCTGTTATCAGGCAGGGTAGGTGTCATCCGCCCCACTGCGCAGATGAGGAAAGAACCCCAAGTGCTGGAGGACCTCCTGAGGTTTTGCAATAGGCAAGTAATGTTAAGAGTGGGGACTGTGCTTTCAGACCACAGAGCCACCGAAGCAGGTGGCTGAGAAGCCATGAGGCAGTGGGAGAGGTGCCACCCAAGCTTGGCACCCTCTTCCTCTAGTTGCACAGCCCTGGGGTAGGCAGCTATGCCTGGATTTGTGTTTTCTCCAGTCCTCATCATGTCACATTTCCAGCCTTCCTCCAGCTGGATGGCATTTATTCATTCAGGGTGCAGGCCTTCCCCAAGTGTGCAGGCTGCAGGGCCCTGGGGGCCTGAGCCCCACCACCCTTAGTCTCAGCCTCTTGGGAGCTTCATGTGATTAATGCACTGTCTGCTGGGATTCAGAGCTAAACTTCCCAAGTCTGGAGCTGTGTAGCTGGCAGACAAAGATGAGGTTAGCCACCCCTACCTGTAACCTCCTGCCAGGTGCAAGAGAGAAAGGCTGCAGCCCACTGACACTCCACTCCCCTGTGATTTAGATCAGAGCTCCCAGGGCACAGAGTGCAGTAAGACTCGGAGCTGCACAGCAGCACTGGCTGCTTGTGCCCTAAGGGAACCTACACATCTGTGACCTCAGCTTATCGTCTCTGCCCCTCTCGAGCCTCCATTTCAAGTGGTCAAGTGGGCAGGTTGGGAGCTAGGGATTGAAACACGCCCCCCCTCATCCTCCGGCCTTGAGAACAATTTCCTGCGTTAATGTGTTTGCCAGTCCCTGGTAGTCCCACTCCCTGTGCACTGCCTGCATTGCATTTGCTGTGTTGAGGTGATGACTGGGGAAGCATGGTGGGGAGGGATCGGGAGCCTGAAGAGCCTTGCTGAGCGGGAGCTAAGTCCCGAGATGTCCTTCCACTTACCATTTCTGCCGATTTATTTCCTAGATGATTTATCCCTGTATTTTATGAGACCTTCTGTAGGGCACTTTTATTAACTTTGGTGACATCTAATGGTGACAAAAGAAAAAAAATAATTGTATCCTGTGTTTTTGCTGAATTTAGCTGGTTGCACTGTAGGTTGCGTGGGGACCAAAAGCTAGGGAAATTGATAGGTTTGTTGGGGACATCTTGGTGTGGACATTTGAGTGAAATGTGTCCTGCCAGCACCGTATGACCTGGCCTTGGCCAGAGCAGCAGCCAGCCTGTATTCCACATGACTGGATGGTTAGCCTCAGGCTGCGCACCCTGGCAACATCCACTGTGAGTTTCTTTCTGGTGACCTGGGGTGGTAGCTGTGCACACGTCTCTGTGAGCACAGTGTCTCATTGAACTCAGGGTGGTTTGCATTGCAAGACCTGGCAGGCCCAGCACTTAGCAGGTTTTATACTTGGCTTCTATGGGCCAAGTAGACAGTGCTCCAAGGAGTTAATCATCACTGATCGTGACAGGAGCTGCCGGTGAGCATACACTGCACCAGGCACTGTGTCATGTAGACAGACATTGCTGTATAGATGTAGATGTAGTTTTTGATCACTCACAAGGTAGTAGTTTTTGATCACTCACCCCGTCTGCTTTGTAGAAGGAGAAGCTGAGGCAAGAAGTGGATGCTTGTCAGAACCACAGGTCTTTGTCACTTGCCATCAGGCCACCCTCCACGACTTCTACCCTGAAGCAAGTCTAGCCTGTGAGCAGCCAGGCCTGTGCCTGAGCAGTGATAGAAGTGGAGGGGGATCCAGCTGCCCTGGAACTGTCAGTGTGGGTGATGCATTGTGAGAAGCAAGTGGAGGTGACAGAAGTCTTGGGGTCACCAGAGTTGCTTTGCAATCTCCATCTTCTTGGTACATTTTCCTAGAGTCTTCTTCTGAGTAGCTGTTACTGAGAGGCCCATATAAGAGCGAGAGAGTGTGGGGTCAGGGTGTCAACACCGTGTGAACCGTGTGCAATGTCAGCCAGGCTCTAAGTTTTACCCAAAGCGGATTTCCTCTTTGTTGATTCATTCATTCATTTTATTTAACAAATGTTTATGTAAGGCTCATTTTGGAGGTTGTTGTAATATCAATTGAATCCTCACAATAGCCCTCTGGATTACCTGCTCTTATTATCCCCATTTCACAGACAAGGAAACTGAGACACAGTTTGTTCAGGGTTAGGTTGCTCCAAGCTTCCCACCCAGAATGTGGGGCTCTAGGCTCTCGCTGGGCTGCCTCTTCATTTACTCCTCCATCCTTTCACTCACTTGCCAAGTTCTTCCTGTGGGCTTGCTCCAAGCCAGGGGCTGATCTCAGGTCAGGGTAGACAAGACTGCTGCTGTCAGGACAAACAAGGGTTCCTGTAAGAAACCGCACCAGAGATGAGGGAAGTGGTTGAAAAACAGAGAAGAGCACATATTCTAGCAACTGGTTTTGACAGTACCAAGGTCTGCCTTTCCAGATGACAGAGCGGTCCTCTACCTAAGTGTGTGCCTCAAAGGGAAGGCTCTCGGCATTCTCCAACACCTGAGATTCATCTGTAAATGTGTGATTCAGAGTTCCAAAGCACTTGATCCAGCCGTTCTTCTCCCTGGTTCTCAACAACCCCGGGCTTTCCCTGGCTGACCCAGCGCAGCAGCCAGCTCCACGGCTGCTGCTGCCGTGGAGCACCGAGCCGCAGTCTCTGGGTCGTACCCATCCTCTGCAGATTGAGCTCACTCCCTGTGTTCTCTGTCCAGATGCTGACCAGTACAAATACGGCAAGAACCGGGTAGAGGCGGATGCCAAGCGGTTACAGACCAAAGAAGAGGAGCTGCTGAAGAGAAAGGAGGCCCTGAGGAACAGGCTGGCGCAGCTCCGGAAGGAGAGGAAAGACCTTAGGGCCGCCATTGAAGTGAATGCTGGTAGGGAGCATTTGGCGCTGACCAGTGTGCTGAGCCATGTCTGTTAAGGTTCTAGATTTCATTCTGCTCTGTCCACAAGAACTGTCACCACTGAGGCTGTTGTTTTTGCAAAGTGTGTTGTCACACACTGCCCCCTTGGGAGCGGGCACTGCCGGGGGCTCAGGGCAGGCACCAACATGCTTGGGTGGTGTGGCCTTAGACAGAGCCCAGGACCCTGCCTGATATGCACAGGTCTCAGCAGATCCAGGTCCCAAGGGGTGTTTGTCAGATCCCGGTCTCAGTCAGTGTTTCTGTCGGAGGGTTGCCCACAGGGGCACGTGGTTTCCACAGTCCCTGCAGGTAGAAGCAGCTCTCCACTCCTGGAGTGGGGAGGGCCTTGAGAGAGCAAGGCCACATTTGAGTCTTGGAGGTGCTGGGGAAGAGGCCCTGTCACTGGGCCCCAAAGAGGGCAGAGAGTAAGGCCCAGCAGTCAGGTGGGGATGGGGCAGTGAGGCAGTTGGCCACACCGTTCCATGGGCCCAGGCTTGTGTATTCTTGCTGGGTATGCAACGCTCTTGGCTTGCTGCCTCCTCTGTTTCTGGCTATGCTTTCACCAGGGCAAGACCACCTCTCCAGATTTAGGAGAGGACAAGGTCAGTGCAGAGAACGGGGAGGACGTGGGGCTTCTGCCCTACCCAGGCTGGGCCAGTGCACATGCACACCATGCAGTTAGCCAGAGCCTAGGGCACTCTTAACTGCCTGGATGGTTGCTGTGGAGGGAGTGCTTTTTTTGTTGGGGTGGAGATAGAGAATGAGAGAATAGTGCAGGATGACCTATAGAGAGAGGTGGGGTGCCATATCCAGCATCAGTCTGCGGGGGGAGGGGAGGATGGAGAGCTCAGTCTGAGATCTGGAGGCAGCATGGAGTGTGAGGAGACAGGAGGAGCTTCCCCTAAGCCTGTTTCACGTCTGCAGGACAGTGAGCAGTAAGGCACAAGAAAGGCTCCAGAGCTTTGAGCCTCAGTGCATCTCAGGTACTGAACAGCACTGGCTGGGACCCCTGTGCATGAGTTTGCCTACCACATCTGCCATCCTAGGTCACTGCAACACGTCTTAAGTAAAATAAACAAGGCCAATATACCCTGAACCATGTGCCCTGTCCTGCAGAGGGGCAAGGTGTGCTGCTTCACCACAGTGGCACAGAAAATGGCTCAAGAGTGGCTGGTAGAAGAGTGAGAAATCGGAAATCACTGTGTTCAGATTTCCCAGGCAGCAGCACCTTCAGGTGCCACAATGTTCAAGTCCCAGTTTCTTTAGCGAGTGCACCGAGACCCACAATCAGGAGCACTGCAGGCCTATGGGGTCAGGTCTGCCTCCTGGTCCTGCTTTCACAGTAAAGGCAGCTGTTAGAGAAGAACTTGGATTCCTCAGCTGAAGCTCTGCGGTCAGGGCCTGTGTCAGGGACCTGAGCCTAGCATGTGGCAGAGATCGGCCCTCCTCTGACTTGGCATTGCAGACATGTGTCCCTGGCTTTCAGGCAGGAAGACACAAGTGGCCCTGGAGGACAAGCTTAGGAAGCTGGAGGAGGAATGTAAGCAGAGGGAGGCGGAGCGGGTCAGCCTGGAGCTGGAGCTAACTGACGTCAAGGAGAGCCTGAAGAAAGCCCTGGCCGGTGGCGTCACTTTGGGGCTGGCCATTGAGCCAAAGTCAGGGACATCGAGTCCACAGGTGAGTGTCCTACTGCCAGAGGTCAGCAGAAGGGTGCCAAGGGAAAGTGCTTGGATGGCCTCAAACATAGCTCACTCACTGTGGGTGCGGCAGTATGCACAGCTCAGCCCCAGCCATGTGCTAACGTCAGGCATGTTTGCCAGCTATGTCCTGAGTCCCTGACACTGAATTTCCTCACCCCTTCCCTCAAATTTTTATGAGATGGTAGAAACACCAAGTTGCTCTTTCCCTGTTGCATTACCCAATGATGGGCAGCCTAAGTCTCTTGGATCCTTTGAACCAAGTAAGTAAGTAAATAAGGGTCACTTACTAGGCAGAAAGTGTAATGGGGTACATCTTGATACGGGATCCTGGAGTGACTGGCCCATGGTTTGTGTGAGACTGGATCCTGAGCTGATGCTGACCCAAGCCCCAGCCACTTCTGCTGCCTGGGCATCTCAGGAGAAGCTGGCTGAGGGGAAGGTCTTCCAAAGTTAGGAGGTGCTGCAGGTGGACAGGCCAGAGGCAGGCCGTGTGACTGGAGGGGACTCCCTCCTCCGCATGCCCAGCCACAAGTTGAGCCACCCCCAAGCCTTGGCCTTCCTGCCTGTAAACGGGGGCCTAATGGTGTTCTGTGGACTGCCACTGGCTGTGGTGGTCCTGGTGCTTGTTCTTAGCTTTTCCCATTTCCAAAATCCATTTATTCTCTAGAGCAAGCCATTTTCGGGGGGAGATGTAGCTTAGTGCTCATGGTCCTGGGTTTGATCTCCAGCACCACAGAATAAAAAATAAAATAGAAGCAAGCCATTTTCCAGCTGGAAAGTAAAACTCTGCAGAAAGTATTCCTCACATAGGTGCTGTCTCTCTCACGAACAGTCTCCCGGGTTCCGGCATCGGACTCTGGAGAACTCGCCCATATCCAGCTGTGACACAAGTGACGCCGAGGGCCCCCTGCCAGTGAACAGCGCAGCTCTCCTGAAGAAGAGCCAGCCGGCTGCGGGCAGCTCCCCATGCCGTGGGCACGTGCTGAGGAAGGCCAAGGTGAATCCTGCTATCCCATGGGCACCAGGGGCTCTCGGGCTCTGAGGCTAGCCTGCCTTCTTTGCCATGTGGTCACTTCCTGCCAGAGGCCATTGAACGAACTTTTACCAAGTTCTCAAACCATGTGAAACCCTCCTTTAGGAACTGGGATGTAAAGGCAGGAAAGACTGACCCTCAGACCCCAGGGTTTATCTCAGAAGTGGGGGACTCCCATCTTCCCTGGACTTATGCCCTCACTAGGGGAGTAGCGATTGGGCCACATGACCCTGAGATCCTTTCTGGCACTTAAATGCTGTGATTCTTCAAAAAGAAAGCCCAGGAAGGTACTTCTCCAGGCCTCCCAGCCACCCCCCACCCCCTTCCCCAGGCTAGGGTCTAAGGGGCACCCAGGGAACTCCCTATCCCACTGTGATGTCCCCATCCTCTGAGGAAGTAGCCAACAATAACCTTCAGTGCTGCACCTGAAAATCTCAGAAGTGTGTACAGCTTATCAGAGCAAGCAGCTCCAGCCACAGTAGGTATGGCTGGAGTAGGTGGAAGCACAATGTGAGCCAGATGGAGTCCATCCGTTTCGAGGGCTGAGGAGGCCACATGGCCTCCCTGTGCTCCCTCAGGGCTCAGTGCAGTCACTCCTGTGCTGGTGCCAACCTTTGCAGGGCAGGCCCTGTGCAGAACCGGAGTAGGCATGTAGCTATGGCTGCACTCCTTGGCATGTCCTTGGGGGAGTCCTGTTTCTTGTACCTGCCACAGCCTCTCAGCGTGTCTGCCATTGTGGCAGGCATATTTCCTGAGGCCTGTTGAGGGGTGGGGAGGAGGTGGGCTGTCTCTCATATCATCGTCCTTGCATGTTTTAGAGTCCTCAGGCTCTTGGTGTGTAGCAGCTCCTGTGGGGAAGGGCGTGTTTTGCAGATGGGTTTGGAATTGAGCTGCTCACTTGTTTCTTTACCCAAGAACTCGACTGGAAGCTAAGACACCAGCCTCTGACAGGGCTCCCTTCCCTACCTGTGTCCTCAGGCCCATCCATGCCTTGGAGGTACCCAGATTTCTTCCCCTGTAGAGGCTGATAACCCCATTGTGGGGGTTGCCACAGTTTATCTACCCATTCATCCACCTGTGGACACTTGGTTGTTTCTGCCTTTGGGGTGGGTTTAGACCCAGAAGTGGAAACCCTAGACCACAGGATCTTTCTGTTCTTTGGTGGGGGGGGGACGGGACGGGACACACAGTACTGGGATTTAAACTCAGGGCTTCATGCTTACTAGGTGGGAGCTCCACCACTTGAGCCACTCCACTGGCCCTTTTTTGGTTGGGTATTTTTTTGAGACAGGGTCTCGAAAACTATTTGCCCAGGCTGGCCTCTAACCATGATCCTCCTGATCTCTGCCTCCTGAGTAGCTAGGGTTACAAGAGTGAGCCACTGGTGCCTGGCTATGTTCCATTTTTTGAGGAATCTCCTTACTGTTGCCCAAAGGTGAGCAAAAGGCTCTTGGTCCAAAAGCTCAAGGGATCATAGCACAGCTGTGCCAGCCGGTGTCCTGCACGTGGGTTGACACCGCTCTCCTTTACTCCAGGAGTGGGAACTGAAGAACGGGACATAGAGGGAGGCCAGGCTGCCCCAGCTTCAGGTAGAGACTGCGCACCGCCACCCAGTCTCCCTCGTGTGACGGCGACTCCCCACAGCACCAAGCCTGGCTTCAGAGGTTGGCGACTGCCTTCTGCTACCCACACCTCCGCCCAGCTGGTGTATGTTCTTTCTGCTGTATAATGGTGCCCTTCAGAAACGATGACTTGTAAGACTTTGGTGTCCAACTTTATTTGTTAGAAAGCAGAAGCGAAAAGAGGTGATAAGCGGTCATAGAAGAAGCCTGTGGCAGATGGAGAAGTCACCTCTCTCTGACCACTTACACAGCTCTGACCAGTCTCAGCCCGATTCCCACCTGCACAGGGGATGGACCACAGGTTGGACAGGAGCAGCCTGCAGCCCACTGCAGCCATGCCTCCCCGTGTTCCAGCCCTTCTGCCCAGAGCTGGGGCCATGTGGACAACATGCCTGCATCCCCTGTGCCGGCCTCTTGTCTCTGTCCTCCAGCATTCTGACCTTTTAAGGTTTTTTTTTTTTTTTTTTCTCTGACAAATGCTTTTGTCACAGGACATGAAAAGCTGCCATTCTTTTTAACCTGTTTTTAAAAACTATCTTTTTATTGTGTGCTGCATTTAGATCTAGGCAGTGTTCAGAGACCCTGTGTCCTCTCTTATTAATTACCTATGCTGCTTTGGAAAGGCAACAGTGTTTTAGCACTTGGCATATGTGTGCCCTTTCCACCGTTCCAGGGGCACAGGCAGCCTCAGACTAAGGCTGGCACAGTGTCTGTTCATGGGACGGTTGCTGGCTAGAGGGCCGAGCTCCTCTGAAAAAGATACAGATTTGAATGGTGTTCAGCCACAGACCTGCAACCCCTTAGAATCAGAGATGGGCCTTTGAGAGCCCTCCCTGCTCCTGCAGCTGTGAGGTAAGCCACGAATCAGCAGTGTGAGGACCAGGCAGGCCTCTTCCTCGGTCCCCCTGCTTGCCTTATTCACAGTATTTCTCGGGGACTTCAGATGCTCAACACACACAGGAAAAGCTCATGAGTCAGGGTAGCCTCGGCCCATGGGTTGAGAACCACACTGGCTTCCTAGTCTCCAGCAGGAGCCTTCCAGAACTCCACCACGGGGAGGTGCAGGCACCAAGGAGAGAAAGTCAGTCTTGGGAGTCTCCACACGTGGCCATGGGCTCCCTCTTCCCAAAGTGTAGATCCTAGTAATGCTGTGGGAGAGGCAAGCCTTTTATCCACAATCACAAGTGATCTTTTCACCTCAGAGAGGAAGCAGGAAATAGTCTGTCCATGTTCTCTCCAGGAGCACCCTCAGGCCTGTCCTGAGCAGCCATACCATCCAAACCCTTCATGTTTAGGGTCAGTTTGTTATCGTCGTACCTTCCGACTCTGCAGGAGCTGTCTCTGATGTCACTTACAGACCAGGAAAGTCGCCCCAGTATGTAGGAAAATTCGTACAGGAATTGGAAGGTGCTTAGCTGGTTTCTCCTGGAATCTGAGATGCTTTCAAAGCCATCTGCCAGGAGCCCCAGGTCCATGGGCTGTCCACTGCCATTCCCACTCCAGCACATCCTCCACAGGGTCAGGTGGAGGTGCTGTACACCAGCATTTATCACAGTCACAGAGAGGGCCAGAAGGGAGGCAGCCAGCCTCCACACGCATTAGCGGTCCTCACAGGTAACCTGGAAGAGCCCTTCCGGTCCTCATGGGAAGCTGTGACCACTTCCTGTCATATGAAACCAGTTTTTTGTAAAGGGAATGACTCTTTACAGGTCATTGAGGATAGAAATGACCTACCATAGATTCTTATGCCTTCAGGTTAAATGGAGTTCTCAAATCAGGGCTTTGGTCAGCAGTCTGCTTTCCCAAGAGACTTTGTGCCAGGCTTTGCTTGTTACTGAGACAGGGAGAAAGTGCCCAGCCTGAGGTCTTGGTCCTGGCCAGCATAGATGGACATCCATAATCTGGTAGATGGGACATTGTGCCTACCAAGGACTTGGGCATTGCTGCCACCACCTGCATTTTGCAAGTAGAGACCCTGAGCCTTTGGGTGTGTGTCTGACCAAGGACACTGCTCAGTGGTACCAGAGCCAGGATTTGGACCCTGGTCTGCAGGCTCCTGGAATACACATTTGTGGTTAAAAACCCAGGTTCATAATTCACTCTTATAGCCATGAGTCTTGAAGGACAGCCAGCCGAAATGGACCCATGGAAGGCCAGGCTTCCGACACAGGCTTCCTGTCGTGTCTTATGTTCCCCTTGACATTTTTAGATTTGATCAGAAAGTTAGTTTAAAGCATTTGCTTCAAAGTAAGTTATTTATTTGTATATGTTCAATAAATATAGTTTTAATTTATATCTGTACATACTGGGCACATACAAGACATCTTGTCACAATTTTGACAGGATCTCTTTTTATGACCCCCCCCCAAAGTATGCCATGCCTGACCCTGGCTTCTGGGCAGCTGGAGCCCCACTGTGCTACGTTGTACAGAAGCCAGGGTCAGCCAGCCCTGCTGTGAGTGGACTTGAAGTGCTGCCCATCCTTTAATAGGTGGTGGTGCTCACAGAGCACTAGCCACATGGTGGCAGACTGATAGACAGGAGGGCAGCCACCCCACCATCTCTGTGACTCTGAGGCTGTAGTGCCCTCCCTTGGGGCTTGCTCTGGCCATCATCAATGTTTAAAATCACCTGCATTTTTTCTGTTTTATGCTTTTACTTCACTAACCAGCCCCTTGCATAGAAACAGCTATGCTGGTCTGAGGGTTTGCTTTGGTCCCTGACTTGGGCACAGGTGTGAGCCCTCATTGTTACTCAGCCTCATGCACCAGTGCTCTGCAGGGTGACCAGTGCAGGTCAGCCAGGTTGTTCCAGATTCAAGAATGGCCCATCCAGAGGGTGTGGGCCTGCCACATGGAATCTTCCAGAACCCTTCCTTTGGGACCCACAGAGACCACGCCCCAGCCATATGTGTGAACCTCTCAGCCCCTGCTTGCATATGTGTTTGTGCTACCCAGCCCAGGCACCCACCTTCTCCATAACCCTTGTCCCAAAGTTGTCTTTGGCTTAAAAGTCTGTTTTCAAAAGTGTACATCCTAGACCTGAGGCCACCTGAGGAGGAGCCTCAGCCATGTTGTTGTCCTCATGGCCACCACCATTATCAAGGACATCGTCAAGGTGAGGGCTGTGTGTGAAGCTGTGGGCAGAGCTCGAGTGCTTATGGTCACATCTCCCTTTTTCCCACAGTCCCCACCTTCCTACGTTCAGGCAGTGGTCACCCAAGGCAGCAGCTCCTGCCTGAGGTGGGCAGCAGTGAGGGGCAGCCAGCAGCCTTCCCACTCAGAGAGAAGGACCAACCTCATCTGCAGCCAGCACCTGCCATCACCCAAGCTCCTCCCTCACCCACCAGCAGACAGATGTCCCCAGGTCATAAGGTCATGGCACTGTTGGGATGATAAACTATTGCCTTCTTTTTTTCTCTTTTCTAAAATAATTTTTAAATGGAAACAGTAATTGTAAATTCATGACTTAATTTTAAAGAGGTAATAATGTTTGGGTCCTGTTTATCTCTATCTTCTTAACCCCATGGTAGGCTGAGTTCATACTGTGAATTAAACTGAAATTAAAAAGAAATGAGAGGCCCATGCCATGTGCACACAGCTCAGTGCAAGAAGGCCGTGGAAGTTCTGTGGTGTTCAGCCCACATCAGGCCCCAAGTCTCGGAGGAAGGGAAAGCAGCCACCATCCTCGGGAATCGCTGCCCCACGCCGCCTTTGCCCAGCTCCCAGACCTGCCTCGCAGCACACAAGCACCGTCAGGTGTCTTCAGTGGCTGCACGGGAGACATTTGAAAATGGGACCTTCAGGATATAATTTGTAGGGACCAAAGTTTTTCATAAGGTCATCTTTTTAACTGACTTTCTAATGAGGAAGGAGATACTCATTTTACATTTTAACATCAGCTTTTACATTACAGATTCTCAGAACTAATTGACCATGGCTATAAGTTGTAAAATGTTTTCATATTAAGAATGTAATTATTTCCTTATTGTATTTTTTAAAAACTAAAGTCATATTTAAAATTCTCTTTGAAAGAAGCAGACAGTGAAACAGGAAAGATTTTTTTCTATTAAATGTTGGTAGTGCCCATTTGAAATGACTGTAAATATATTTTGACTGTGTTTCTCAGTGTATTTAATTCCTAAAGAAAACCCTTTTATGAAGAGATTGCAATGAAAAGGTCAGTTTTCCACCCATGGCCCAGTTCTGTATCTCCTCAGCCCAAGTGTCTGCTTTGCTGATAGGGTTTTCCACCATTTTACATGGAGCAACCCTGACTGGCGCCCTTTGGCGTGACCGTTGTGAGTTAATAAAACTGCTTCATGGACCAGACCTCGGTGTCTTCCTGACCATGGCTTGTGGTGCAGAGTGGGAGGTTTCCCAGTGGCCTCTAGTCCTCACATCCAGTGGAGTAGAGGCCATAGGACGGGGGTGGGGGGGTCAGAGGTCACAGGTGAGAGGAGAAGGTAGGGAGGAAGTGCTTTGTTTATGGGAGTGAGAGCCCTCTTGCATGGAGCAACCCACAGTTGGGGGGTTTTTGGGTGGGAGGGGCTGTTTTGTTTTTGGTGGTACCGGGGCTTGAACTCAGAGCCTCACCCTCGCTGGGCAGATGTTCCACCACTTGAACCATACCTCCAGCCCTTTTTCTTTTGTTATTTTTGGGGTGGGGTCTCACTTTTTCCTAGGCTGGCCTGAGATGACGCACCCAGCTTTGAGATTTGGTGGGGAGCAGGGCGGAGGTCTCACAAACTTTTGCCCAGGCTGACCTCCAATCCCAATCCTCCTGATCTCTGCTTCCCCAGTAGCTAGGATTACAGGCATGAGCCATCGTGCCTGACCCCACGGTTGGTTTTCAATCCACAGTTCTGAATATTCAATTCAACGTGTTTCACACCAGCCAGATGCCCCAATCTGCCAGGTGCTTGAAGGAGAAAACCTGACAGGACACCTGCTATGGGAAGCCAGCTAGGCAAGACAGGCATAAACCCAGCACTAGTGTGGTTTTTGAGTTTATGGGGATTTCTGGAATCATAGAAGGGGAGGATAACTGAAGCTGCTCTGTCTGTAGGGTTTTGCAGAGGAATGGAGTTATTTGAGGTAGGCTGTGTCGTTTACAAAGGAGTTCAATAAGGAGCAACGCAGAAGAGCCCTTCCAATGGAAGGCAACAGCAGGAGCCAAGGTGCGGAGGATAGACACGTGTGCTGCGTGGGAACTGGGGGCCCAGGGAGCAGGCTGGCACGGGCTTTGGGAGCTGTGTTGTGGGGAGAGGGGTGGAGAGCATCCGAGGGTTCCACAGGCGCACACCCCAGCTGGACAGCAGGTTGGTCAGGTGGCTGGCTTTCTTCCCCAGAGCTAACCCCGAGCAGTCTGCTTGAAGCGCTTGCACAATCAGCCCCATGAGCTGCTGGCTGGTGCAGTTAATCT